GACGTAGCGAAGGCCTTTGACAAAGTCTGGCACAGCGGCTTGATTTTCAAACTGCACAAGATGGGAGTGCCAGACAGGCTCGTGCACATCATACGAGCCTTCTTGTCCAATAGGTCATATCGCTATCGCGTCAATGGAGTGCGTTCCAGCGCACGACCGATTAGAGCCGGCGTCCCTCAAGGCGCTGTCCTCTCCCCCACCCTCTTCTCGTTGTACACCAACGACATCCCGCGTCAGCCCCGAGTAAATCGCCCTCTTTGCTGATGAAAAATGTGGACAACGTCGGCCGCCTGTGCAGCCAACAGGCTTCAACGGGCGGTGGACGAGCTGGCCTACTGGTTCAGAAAATGGCGCATCGAAGTCAACCCAATAAAAGCGCCGCCGTACTTTTCACGGCCAAAAGAAAACCATCCCTTCCCGCCTCTATTCAGCTGTTTGACTCCCCTGGATATAATTAATAATTCCAAGTTGAGTTTCGCATCTCATCTTAAGCGCGTCCGAATACTGGGACGCCTCCATCCCTTTATTAACAAGCGCAGCCAATTGTCGCTCAAAAAGCTGACGCTCTATAAAGCATGTATAAGACCGGTGATGACGTACGCTAGTGTCGTCTTCGCCCACGCCCTTCCTTCATTACTTCACCCCCTTCAGGTGGTGCAAAATAAATTTCTGCGACGGGCCACGGGCGCCCCGTGGTACGTGCGCAACGTGGATCTACACCGCGACCTCAAAATACCCACTATAAGGCAATTCATGAAGCAAGCGTCTCGACGCTACTTCGCCTCAGCCGAGTCCCATTCAAATCCGCTCATAGTAAGAGCGGTCAAATACAAACCCCCCATAGAGAACGTCGCTCCAAAACGTCGTCGCCCGAGGCACGCACTCTTGGACCCCGATGATCCAACTACGACGGCAAACGCGTCTCCCTCCCTACCTACCGCGGAACCCTCGACAAGAGCCCCTACAAACACACCCACACATCGCACACACCGCCCCCGCCGGCGGGGGCGAAGAACCCTCGCGACACACGGTCCGCGCGCGATCAGGTTTGCGCCCGAGCGCATAACAACCGCGTCGCAATCTCACCCACCCAGACGTTTCGCCGTCCCTCGACGGGGGTCATAAGCCGAGGCCGAGCCACTCGGCGCCCTTAGGCGCACACACACACCGCAGTCCATAAGAAAGAGTCGACACCTCTGTCGCTCCCCTCTCGCGTGCTTGGAGTGCCATCAGCACTCGCCCCTGCATTCGCGTCCGGTGAAGCTGTAAAGTCCACACACGGCCAACAGCAAACACATTCAGAAAAAAAAAAAAAAAAAAAAAAAAAGCACGTCGCCTATCATAATTGTAATTAAATTTGTTAATGTTGTTATCACTGCATTATTTTATTAATTGTAAACTTTACACACCTATGTAGTGGTAAAGATTGCTGAACAATTTTTTTTTGTATACGATTTAGAATGGCAAACAAGCTGACGGCCCACCTGATGGAAAGTGCTAACTGTCGCCTATAGACATGAGCAGTACCATGGACATAACAGTACACGCACATATGTTTGCATGCTATTATATTCACCGTCACCGCCAGCGCCCTCTGCTCCCGTTCAATGACATCATCATTGGCTTAGAGTGAACCATGAGTCGAACGGCCTAGTAATTGTGGAATCATTATCGTCATCATTTCAGCCATTATCCGTCCACTGCTGGACATAAGCCTCTCCCATAGACTGCTATAAAGAATGGCCTTGAGCCACCTGCATCCAGTAACTCCCTACAATACATTTCAAGTCGTCACTCCATCTACTGCGGGGTCGTCCTACACTGCATTTACCTGTACTCAGTCGTCACTCAAGAACCTTTCTTCCCCATCGGTTGTCGGTTCTTCGAGCTCCGTGACCAGTCCATTGCCACTTCAGCTTGCTTATCCTTCGGGCTGTGACGGTTATTTTGGTTCTTTTGCTGATATCCTCGTTTCGGATTCTATCACGCAAAGAGACTCTGAGCATAGCCATAGCCCATTGGGTACAGATGAATAACATCTGAGTCCTCAGGAATGGCAACACATGGGGGGTATCATGGGCGAAACAGTATACTCTGTTATGTCCAAGGTACTGTTCATGTCTATAGGCGACGGTTACCACTTTCCATCGGGTGGGCCGTCAGCTTGTTTGCCATTCTATGTTGTATAAAAAAAAAATAGCTTTTGCATACGGGCAATCGTGTAGGACCATGTTTCGGTTCCATAAGTCATCACTGGCAAATCGCATTGGTTAAAGACCTTCGTCTTCAAATTCTCACGTATTTTGGATGAAAAGATGTGAAAGTTCCCGAATTGTAAAATATAAAATTATAATATTTTTCCAGAGGGAGACTTTGTACAAAAGTCGTTTGGGGTACCTCTGTCTCACTCGGGTTTCTACCGTGAAGCAGTTGTGTTTGCTATGTTTCAATTTGATGCGTGTGATATGGCAGTGAATTTACAGGGTACAGAGGTATAACATCCTAGTCCAAGGGGGGAAAAGGATTGTTAGCAATGGAGTTTGACAGCCCCATTGCTAGCAATATACCTTATTAGGTCGACCTCCACGTGATTCCCCCTGGAAACCATCGTGAAGAATTCAACAAGAATTGGGCCAACTGACCTACTTCATCCTCATCTATCATTCTTCACTGGTGCCCCGCCGGTGTATACCGATAGCACAGGTGGGGTTACTATTCCATTAAAGTTAATATTCCAAAAAAAACACCCTAGTCCTTAGGAAACGCAACGTATCATGGGCGAAACAGTATACTCTGTTATGTTAGTATGGTACTGCTTATGTTTATAGGTGACAGTTACCACTTTCCATCAGGTGGGCCGTCAGCTTGCTTGCCATTCTATGATACATAAAAAAAATAGATTTAAGTACTAAAACATCTAATTTAGTGTTTCTAATCATGTAGATTACTTATTTACTTGATAAATTAATTCTTTTAATACTGTTGTCTCCTGTATCTATAGAGATCAGAAGGTAATTGATGTCCCAATGAGTTCTCAATGAATATGAGAGAACGAAGTTGACATACTACAATTTTATATTCAATTAAGTTAATCTACATTTACACTAATATTATAAAGAGGCAAGATTTGTATTTTTGTGTGTATGTATGGTATGTTTGTTTACTTTGACGATTTCAAAAATTCTTTCACCATTAGAAAGCTACATTCACCCTGAGTAACCTAGGCTATATTTATTGCTAGAAAAGATAAGGGATCCTTACTTAAACTTTAGTAACGTAACTCAAGCTGTAAAAAATGCTATAAAATATCTTTCGCCGCGTGCGCTGCGGAAACTATTCGTGATAGAACAAAAGTATGTTCTACGATATTGAAGAAAATATCAATAACTACAAAAAACTTCGCGATACTATATGTCCAACTATTAACGTTATGTCACAATAAACACTTTTTAAAATGTTGTAAAAATGTTCCACCCGTGCGGAGCCGGGACGAGCAGCTAGTTAATGAATAAAATGCAATTAATGAGTGAATGACATTCATTGGTATTCCCTTTATACAAATGAACATTGAACAATTTAATATTATTGTTTCCTTATATATAGTTTGGTTATATGTTTAAAACTATCAGAGACTAGTTTATTGCCAGGTACTTCCTACGAATCTAATAACGTAGATCACATCTTTTCCTCCCTTCTTCCTTTCTTCCTTCTTCTTCTCCGTTTCCCGTGGGTGTCATAAAAAGCAACTAAGGGCGGGCGAGGGATGAAAACCAGTGGCCCTGTTAAAACATCTCTAAAGCCTAACTGCGGTTGCCAATCCGCCTGCCAAGCGTAGCAACTATAAGGATGGACTTGTCTCTGACAGAGATCTCTTCCAGTCAACCCAATACAGTAAAAAAAGCATGTCGTTAGCAAGCAACTGAAGTACTACAACTTATATATATATATATATATATATATATATATATATATATATATATATATATATATATATATATATATATATATATATATATATATATATATATATATATTCTTTATTGCACTTAAACAATACATATAGCGATTAGTTTAACAACTTGTTAGCAAGGGAGGATTTATGTCTGAAAGAGATCTCTTCCAGCCAACCCAGTGTAGTTAGAGAGAAAATAATTTGGGTAATCCAGTGCAGGGAAGGTACCAGTAAAAATAACGTTAATACAACAAACAAACACAAATTGTGAATAAATAAATACGTAAATAGATACTATTATCATGTACTATTGGTTAAAAGATGTGATCTCAGTCTTCTCTTGAAGGAAGTAATGGAAGGACTATCCCGTATGTCAGCAGGTAGCCTGTTCCATAGTTGCGCAGCACGAAATGTGAGTAAGTTTCCAAAAAAAAAAAAACTATTAATATTTAGAATACATAAACAAATATACAGTTGTCTACGATCTGGTCATTATCCATCAAAAAAATTTGCACATATGATGGGAAAGTCCTTGTCACCCAATTATCAAACTTGTAATACCATCGATGATGTGCATCATATTCTATTAGAGTGTCGTATTAACACGAAGGAAAGAGAAGAATTCATGCGCCGCTTTAACTTAAATAAATTTAACGTTGGCCTTATTCAATCTGTGTTAGCTGAACTTAAACCAGAAATGTTTGAACATCTCTGTAAATTATTGATGCTCATTAATTCTTTTCTTTCCGCGTCTAGGGAAAGTAGATAAAGTTTTGTTTGAGAAATCAGTTCAGGGTACAATAGGACTGATATACCTGAAGAAGGTAAAAGCCCTTAAAATAATATTTAAAAAAAATACAGTTAAATAAAACATTAAAATATATACATAAATACATATACTATAAATAATTACAATAAAATAAACTTAAGCAATCGATTATTACATATTATCTTGATGTAATTATCAATAAATTACAATACGTGTTAAATTTAATCGTTTCTTTAGCAATAGTATTGATAATATATTCACAATTACTATATAAAAATAGTATTTGACTTAACCAACTATTGTGTCTAAGTGTCATCCTAAGAAATACTGTCAAAATGGTTGCTAAGTTTACAATAGTTTTCTGTGCTCAGTCGCTGTTGGTTCAGGTAATGTATGGTTTTTGGTTTGGTTTTGATACCATACTCTGATTTGTACGTCTACATGGTACTGTTCATGTCTATCATTAAATCAGTTGTTAATTGACAACTGCGAAACATAGGCCTCCCCCATAGGGAGGAATTTAGTTCCAGTAGTTACCACGCTTGGCAAATACAGTTAGAATTTGGTGATGTTTTAAGAGGTAGGTATGCTACTGTATATCCATCGATCATTAAGTTCCTTTAGTCGCCTCTGACGACACCTACGGGAAAAGAAGGAGTGTTCCATTTTAAGCCCGGATTACATAGCTACTCATGTCTTTAGCTTTCTTTTATGGGATCATAATAGAATGCTAACATGTGCTGACGGAGTACCAGTGTGGAAAAATAAATAAGGTTGAATAGTAACAAGGTTAACAAAAATTAACCGTGATATATATTGCCGTATACTCCCATAGTGGCATAGTACAGGCCACTCCTTCCTTTCCCATGGGTGTTGTAAGAATCGACTAAGGAGGCAGAGGAGGCAGAGGAATGGGAAGCAGCGTCTCTCTTAAAACATCTCTAAAAGCCTAACTGCGGTTGCCAACCAGTCTTCCAAGCTGGGCAGCTACTGGCAAAACTCCCCTTATGGGGAAGGCTTGTGTTCAGCAGTGGATAGTTAATAGCTGAAATAATATATATATATATATATATATATATATATATATATATATATATATATATATATATATATATATATATCATGGTTGATATTATATCTATAGTACTAAGTACGATATTTGATATTAAAAATTTTGCAGGTTGCATTTGGACAACTCGGCCTTCTGGGTGGCTTAGGTGGTAGTGGGTCTGTTGTCGACAATGCTGTTGCTATTAATAGTGGACCAACTGCCGTACTTGACGGACTTAATGTACTAAGTACAGTTGGCACACTCGGCGCACTAACCAGCCTTGGCGGAGTTGGCGGAGTTGGCGGAGTTGGCGGGGTTGGCGGAGTTGGCGGTCCAGGTGGAGTCGGAAAAGCAATTGCCTCAGCCGGAAAAAATCTTGCCCTGAAGAGACCTAGCCGTAGCGTTGCCAATTGTGGTCTTGGTGTAATCGGATCTGGACTTAACGTGGTGAACGGTGGACTCGATTTAGCTGGACTCGGTTTGGGTAATGTGGGCATCTTAGTCAGCAACGGCGCGAATTTGGGCACGGTCAGTAACGCTGTGGTCCCCGCGAGTTCGTATATAAATTTGGCATCTTTAACTAACGGTGGTGTTCTACCTATATCTAGTTGCAACTCACTGGTTCCTAAAGGTTTTGCTGTTTTATCTGATAATCCAGTTGAAGGCGCTTTGCTAGTAAACGGTCCAACCGCTTGTGGCTGTGGAAGCATTGGTAATATTGGTATAATAAGTGAAAATTATGGACTCGGTGCGGGTCTAAATGGACTCAGTGTGGGTGTGAATGGACTGGGTGGAGTTGGTTCCAGGCTAGGTGGCCTCGGTTTGGGGACGGTAGTATTGGTCTAGTCTACTGAATATATATCGAATTATATATTTCAGCCTTAGAATTTATGATTAAGTTTTAATTATATAAATATTATTATTATAATAAATGTTGTAATAATAAATTAATTAATTAAATAAATATTTATTATTTAAAATATGAAGTTGTTATTTACACTATTGGTAATCCGAAAATGTCATGAATTACACCTAATTACAAATAATTAAAAAAAATTAAAACTGACTTAAATAGATGACAGTAACCATCATCATCATAAAATAAATGGTTGACTTCATGCCACTTCATTCCTAAGGATAAATTGGATGCAATCTCAGTTGTGTTCCTGAATATGGGACTTTAAATCATACAATATCAATCGATACATTTTGTCTTGATACATCATGTAAAAGTAGTCTATTTAATTCATCATCATCATCATCATATCAGCCTTTAACTGTCTACTGATGAACATAAGGGGGAGGCCCATGAGGGGTTATGTCGGTAGTTTCCACGCTTGGCAAGCTAATTGGCAATCGCAAGTATTCATTGGAGATGTTTCAAGAGGGACGCTGCTGCCCATCCCTCGCCCTCCCTTAGTCGGCTCTTACGACAATTACGGGAAAGGAATAAGAAGAAAGGAAGAAGGAAGACGGGAGGGAAAGATATGGTTTACTTTATTAGATTCGTAGGAAGTAGGTGGCAATAAACACCTACAGGAAATAAAGGAGTGCCCTAATCTATGCTGAGACCACACAACAATACAGATTTTTATTTATATAACTAGCGGCCCGTCCCGGCGTCGCACGGGTGGACATTTTTAACATTTAAAACAGTGGCCATTAAGGCTGCACACGCTACGGAAGCTTAAAAATGGACGTAACTTCTCCCGTTTTCCCAACATTTCCCTTCACTGCTCTGCTCCTATTGATCGTAGCGTGATGCAAAGTATACTATAACCTGCCCAGGAGTATGAAGAATGAATGTACCAAGTTTCGTTAAAATCCGTCGAGTAGTTTTTGTTTCTATATCGAATATACAGACAGACAGACAAAAATTTTACTGATTGCATTTTTGGCATCAGTATCGATCACTAATCACCCGCTGATAGTTATTTTGGAGATATATTTCATGTACAGAATTGACCTCTCTACAGATTTATTATAAGTATAGATTAATAAATACATTTGACTTTTTTACCACGTAAAATTTCTTATTAATTTTCGTTACTTCCTACAATCGTAGTTCCTTTGCAAAACAGAGCATGGATTTAGTAAATAGCCTGTCTTCATTGAATTTAATTAAATCTTCTTTTCTTTCAAAAGAAGTGTAAAGAGGTTTCTTCAGAGTGATATATTTTTCACAATATTATTTGGATACCAGTCTTTTTAACATGTTCGTTATTGGATCAATATATTGATATTGCACCTAATATATACATTGCTATATATTAATCACCCCTTACCAGGTGAGATTGTGATTAATCCAGGGATATTTCAACAGTGAAAAATATATATTAGTAACGTAATCATGTAATAAAGCCACAAAAAAAAATGCATACTTTAACTCGGCTAGGTTCGTGGGGTTCTAGGAAAAAAATACACACTGCTTTGATTTGTTTTTTTATTACAAAATTCCAATAACAACGGAAGCCATGTTGAAAAAAGTCTCTCTGTAAACCTAACCATGGAGATAGCGTTTCGTCGCGCGAGAGACGCGGCGCGGTCTCTGATTGGCCGGCGCGACGCATGCGACGTTATCAGTAGGTTTTTCGGGCGCAGGAGTTTGGCGGGGAAGTGAGTTTTTTTTTTATGGGTGAAAATGGCATGGCAACGCCGCCTGCGCTAACGGGATACGCTGCCGGAACACCGGTGAAGGGTGATAGATGAGAATGAAAACAGGCCAGTTAGCCTATCATGATGAATTCATCAGGAATTAACCATGATAGTTTCCAGGGAGAACCGCGAGGAGGTCTACCTGGTCGGGTATATTGCTAGCAATGGGATTCTCAGTCTCCATTACTAACAATCCCTTTCCCCCGAGGAAGTGAGTTTCACAAACCAATAATAGGCGGAGCACAATACTAATTAGAAAACTATTGGAAGTCCATTATGTAATAGATTAGTTATACAATCACAAGATAATATTGCGATGCAGTTCCCAGCAGTGGGACATTATTAAAGCATCATCCTTAGGAATATAAACAACGCATAGAGGGTATCATGGGCGAAACAGTATACTCTGTTATGTCCATGGTACTGCTCATGTCTATAGGCGACGGTTACCACTTTCCATCAGGTGGGCCGTCAGCTTGTTTGCCATTCTAAGTTGTATAAAAAAAATGCGGACTAGCAGTCTCATTGCTAGCAATAAACCTTGTCAGGTGGACCTTCACATAGACTCCCCTGGAAACCATTGCGCTGAATTCTAGGTGTGTTCATTACGGTGGGCTAATAGACCTGCCTTTTCATTCTCACCTATCATCCCTCACTGGTGCTCCGCCATACGCTGGCGGGGTTACCATTCCACTTCTATACATTAGAAAAAAAACCTAATGTGTACATTCATTTTTAAGACCATCCCCCATATTTCGAGCTGATCCCTCACCAGTATACAATAGAGAAGACGGATGATTCTGTTAGTTACGCAACCCGGAACTACAGAAAAAACCAGTCAAGTGCTAGTCGGAGATGCGCAACAGGGGTTCCGTACAAAATCATAGTCAATCATCAAGTTAGAGTGCCATATCTTCAACATCTCGCTGCTAGATACGGACGGGCCTCTCTCGTTCGCACGCTGGAGAGCGTGACAACGTTGGAGAGATTGGGTGTTTTTTCCGTAATTTTGAATAAACGTTTTTCTGTTCGCAATATTTTGAAGCAATGAAATTCTTGGAGAATTGTTTTTAGAAAAGTGAAATAAACTTGGGGCTAATTTTTTTTTTACTTTTAGATAATAGTTTTAGTACTTGTAAACTGTAACTACAGGAGGGAAAGGGATTGTTAGCATTGGAGTTTGACAGCCCCATTGCTAGCAATATGCCCTATTAGGTCGACCTCCACGTTGTTCCCCCTGGAAACCATCATGAACAATTCTTGTTGAATTCATCACGATCGGCTAACTGACCTGCTTCATACTCACCTATCATCCTTCACTGGTGCCCCGCCGGCGTATATCGATAGCGCATCATTTCATCCATTAAAACTGTAACTACAAATATATGAGGTACAAAGTATAGAAAAATATTCTACTGAACTCTCTTTCCTTTCCCGTGGGTGTCGTAAGAAGTGGCTAAAAGAACTTAATGGTTGAGGGATGTACAGCAGCGTCCTTCTTAAGACATCACCGTGCGTTTTTCAAGACACTTTCTTCCACGCACAACCACTCTTTGGAATCAAATTCCAACAGCAGTATTTCCGAACAGATACGACAACATAACCTTCAAGAAAAGAGCATATTCCTTTTTAAAAGGCCGGCAGCACATCAGCAATGCCGTTGGTGTTGTGGGTGATCATGGGCGTCACTTATCATCAGGTGAGCCGCATACTCGATTGCCCCCTGTGTTGTAATGTTTTAAAAAAAAAGGTGCCTAAGAAAAAAAAGAGAAGGTGCCTAAGCAAACGACTTTTGTACAAAATCTCTCTATAGTTTAGATAGATCAAACTTTTTAATATTTTTATAAATCAAGTATTTGTTACGGGTGCAAACTCCTTCGAAACCATACTACAAAATACCAATACATATTGCACAATAGCTGTTCCCACACACAATATCCCAGAAAGAATAAAGATACACTTTAGAAAAGAAATTTGATAAAAGGAAATACCACAGGGCAGTGAGAAGCCAGTATGTATGTAGGTAGGTATTATATGTATTTATAGTGTATGTATTTATGTAATATTTTATTTAACTGTATATTTGTTTATGTATTAATAGTTGTAGCACTTCAGCTGCCCGCTAACGAAATGCTTTCTCACTGTACTGGGTCGACTGGAAGAGATCTCTATCAGAGATAAGTCCACCCTTGCTCACAACATTTATAAATAGATTATTTTATATGTAACTTACAAGTGCAATAAAGAATATATATATGTTTTAAGTCGAGGACGTACGGTGTACATTTTAGAAATCAATCACGATTCATAGATGTAACTATTATTATATAATTACTAATTTTAGAATAGAAAATCATTTATTCAAATAAACTTACATTGAAGCACCTTTGAATAGTCATTACATTTTTTTTTAATCTACCGCTCGTTCGGAAAGCTGTCTCATCACAAGAAGAACGAGCAAGAAACTTGCGTGTTGCTCTTTTAAATAATTTTATTATTACTTTACATTTTTAAGTTTAATTGTGTGAATACAAACCACCAATTAGCACTAATTCAATTAAATACTCAAAAAGAAAAAATATTGAATACATAACCAACTGGTTAAACAATTAATAAGAGGAAATCAGTCATAGTGATTAGAGCAGACCAGTCCCTACAAGCAGCACCCGTTCACGAGTATGACGGATGAGCCAGCCATCACTGCGCTCGACCATATTTTAGGGCGCCCAATGACCCGGCCCACCACGCCGCCACAAGTCTGGACATTTTAGTGAGCATGACTACTCAAAACACTAGACCACGTCAAAGCTACTCACAATTGCCATCTGATAGTTATAGTATTCACATTTTACATAAGAATGCATGCGGCAATTAATACAAAAACCGCTACGCTTTCATATTTCTAAAATCAATCAATTAAATCAAGAAAGCAATGAGAAAATAAAATTATAACGTTGTATGCTATTTATATTTAAATAAAGACTTTGCGTTAAATTATATTAAACGACATTGTGAACTTAAATAGTGTTCGTTTTAAAAAAAAAAACCTATCTAACTAATTAATAGAAATCATTCATCCGCCGTGACACTGATGCAATATTTTTTTATCGTTATCAGAATAGAAATTTATAAAGCAATTATTTCTATGAATTTTACTAAATACGATTACTATAATTATCATTAATATGTTATGTAATTAATGATATTTTTAGTATATAAATATTGGTGTTTTAATTTCTTATATCACACTGTATATACAATTCCATAAAGAAACATGATTTCCTTTGCTGTCCTCTTTATCGCTTGTTTAACTCAGGTATGTTTTGTAATTCTTACTAATAGTGCGTTTGTTTGTTCGTTGCTTTATAGCGTTTTAACGGCTTAAAAAAAAGCTGTGAAATTTGGTATACAAGTCCTGTATCGGATGGAGAAGGATATAGGCTCAGAGTAAATATATCCTAGTCATGCGGACGAAGATACGGGTAAAAGCTAGTCGAGTTATTTTCTTTTATTTTGAGAAAGTATACAGTACAGTATGATATTCGATGTCACCCCGAATTACGCGAACCGCGAGTTTAGCTTTAAATTATGAAGTTTAATTAAGTATTAACTCCCCAATAAAAAGCACCAATAACGTGTGACACCCAATACGAAAAGCGAAAACTCGGACATGTGGAAAGGCATTAGAGAAATTCTATATCTAGCAGTGGATAGAAGTAAGGTGATATGATGATGATCAGAGTTTAGCATTTTTAAATCACGTCGGTTCATCTTTGGATCTTTGGTCAAAATCTTCAGTTACATTAATTTACTTATCTATGGTTTATAACGATGAACTAAAAACAAACAAATGAGTATCTTTATTGCTTTATCCTTATTAATATTATAAATGTGATAGTGAGTATATATAGTTAGTTATATATATATAATGAGTATATATTTGTTTGTTACCTCTTAACTCCTTAACAGTTTAACTAATCACTATGAAATTTAACATACACGTACATACAATGTAAGTTAGATATTTCTCCATCCCATAGATAGATACATAGATATGCCTTTACATAGGTTACTTTTTATCGAGTTTAGAGGAAATATTTAGGTCATGAAGCCGAAGATGAGGGTAAAAACTATTTTATTAATAATACATAATGCCTTCTATTACAGAATGCGTTTGGACAATTATCTGGATTTGGAAATTCTTTCGGAAACAATTTGGGACTTGGAAACAATTTAGCTGCTAATACCTTAGCTGCAAATAATCTTGCTGCAAACAACAATCTAGTCGCTAGCAATATAGCTGCGAACAATCTAGCTGGAAACTCTATTTTTGGTAATAATCTAGCTAATAATTTAGCTAGTAACAGTCTTCTTTCAAATAATCTTCTGGGAAATAATATTGATGCAAATGTTTTAGCAGCTAATGCTGCAGGACATAACAGTTTAGCTGTGAATAATTTCTTGAATAATAATTTGGCAGCAAATAGTTTAGCTAATACTAATTTCGCAGCTAACAACTTCGGTGGAAATCTTGCAGCTAATAATATAATTGCTAACAATTTAGCCGGTAACAATCTCGCCATGAACAATTTAGCAAATAACTTTGGTACCAACAATTTTGGTGTCAACAATTTAGCATCTGACATTGCGTTTAATAACTTAGGAAACAATTTGGCGACGAATAATTTGGCTGCAAATAGTTTGTTAGCAAACAATCTAGCAGGAAATATTGGTTTTAACAATTTGGCTACAACCAATAATTTGATTAATAATGTTGGAATAAACAATTTGGCCAATGACGTGATTGGTGTAAACGGAATCACATCTGGCATAAGTCAAAGTGCTGTTGGAGAAATTATAGTGAGCGGTGAGATGCCTGTTGGCGGGACGACTGGCGTCACTGGCAACATGCCAGTTATCGGATACGTGACGTTTGAAGGATATGTGCCAGTCGGCGGTTCTGTTACAGTTGCCAATAACTGTGACTGCCTCAGCACGCCTGGTCAACCTTAATAAAAAAATTCTGCATTTAATATTATGTATTATTTTATTAATTTAATTAAGTAATTGTTGAAATAAATATTTTAAAATTGTTAATTTCGAGTTTAATTTAATGCAACAGGCCTTGATCCTTAAGAATTTTTGGTCAAAATGATTTTTTAAAATATTTAAAATATAATAAGTTCACCCTTGCTAACAAGTTGTTAAACTAATCAATGTATCTTTTTTTTTTACAAGTCCGCCGTGTACACATATATGTACCAATGAATAAATAAATACCTTGCCTTTCTTGAGGACTAAGATGTTATTCCTCTGTACCCTGTAAATTCACTGCCATATCCCACCGTATCGTAGAAACACAAATGTACACTTTTGTACAATCGCTCTCTATAAATATATATTAATATCAATCAATAATTACAATAAAATATTAATTAAATATTTCAATCAGTTCATAAATAAAAAGCTCATATCAATCTAAAGATCACATATAAAACGTTATAGCATTAGCAATGACCGATCAATTGAAGTGGCTGAAATATTTTTCATTATATGTATTGATTTTTGAAAATTCTGTCTACTCGTGTGAAGCATGGTTGGATCGTCAGTATATATATATATATATATATATATATATATATATATATATATATATAATAAAAATAAATAAAATTGTCAAAAAATTAATAAATAAAAATTTACGGATGTGTCACCCCTATCATTGAGGGATATGAAAAATAGATGTATTCTCAATGCTAATATCACACAAAAATTCAAAAAATCGGTAAATTTCAAAAAAGTTAATAACAACACACGAAATTTTATATATAAGATTTTATTTATTTATTTATTTATTTATTCATTACTACAAATATATGTACATGGCGGACTTAATGCTAAAACAAAATTTCTCCCAGTCAACCATAGGGAAGTGTCAGAATACTCGAATCGGATGAGTTTATTGATATACATACATACTAAAATTACATATATAAACGAATAAATATATATATATATATATATATATATATATATATATATATATATATATATATATATATATATATAATATATATATAAAATATATTACGCCTTATATATTACAGTACCAATTGGTAACAAATATTAATTTTAATTTTTAATATTTATAGGGGTTTGCCAGCATTGAAAAATGGTGGTATTTTTTTTTTATCTAAATGGAATGGTACCCCGCCTGCGTTATCGATATACACTGGTGAGGCATCAGTGAGGGATGATAAGTGAGGATGAAAGCAGGACAGTAGTAATAATGAATTTCATCATCGTCATCATCATTTCAGGCATTATCCGTCCACTGGACATAAGACTCCCCCATAGACTGCCATAAGGAACGGTCCCGAGCCACCTGTATCCACTGACTCCCTGCAATGCATTCCAGATCGTCACTCCATCTAGTGGGGGGTCGCCCTACACTGCGTTTAAGTAATGAATTTATTTGAAATTAAACATGATGGTTTCCAGAGGGATATGCGACATTGATTTGCGGGATTGACATGACTATTAATCCTCATTACTAACACGTCTTTTGAAAACCGCATCCAATTTTGTGCAGTAGTTTTTGCGCGATGTCGGTAGAAATGTATAGACAGACAGATAGCTAGACAGACAGACAGACGAAAATAAAATAAAAAAAATATTGTTTATGCATAACTGCTGGCCTTATCCATTATATAAGATCCATTATATCAATTTTTGGTTACTTGTAATTATCTCCCATGTACAGACATTGTCTTGTTACACCAGAGGGAGACTTTGTACAAAAGTCGATTGCTTGGGTACCTCTGTCCCATTCGTGTTTCAACCGTGAAGCAGTTGTGTTTGCATGGCTGTGTTTCGGTTTGAAGGGTGGGATATGGCATGAATTTACTGGGTACGGAGGAATAACACCCGACTCCTCAGGAATGGCAACGCATGGGGGGTATCATGGGCAAAACAGTATACTCTGTTATGTCCATGGTACTGCTCATGTCTATACGAGTATACGGTTACCACTTTCCATCAGGTGGACGGTCGTCAGTTTGTTTGTCATTCTAAGTTGAATAAATTTTTTTTTATCATATATTGACGATTTAATTGTACTTTTAAACAAGACTATTTAAATAAAGATGATTTGAATTCGAAAAGATTATTATTAACGATATGTATTTGATATTTTTGTGCATTATACGTAAAAAAATATTAATTCACTCTTGCGCTATCTATCCACTTCTATATGCTCTCCTTTAACCAAAGGTTGTCTGTAAGAGATCGCCCTAGCGATAAGACCGCCTTTTGTACCTTTATATGTATATTTTAATCTGTACTCCATGCTATTGTATTTCAGTTGAATTGTTTATATGTCATTGTTTATTTTTATGTTTTTGATGCAATAAAGAGGTAAATAAATAAATAAAATAATAAAAGAAGAATTCGCTTTAACGTATATATGTTAGATATCCGATTGGTATGAACGATATCACAATGGATGATCATCAAAGTTCAGAAGAATCGTATATCATCCATCTCTACATTACACACTTTGTTTGTTCCTCGAATGTCGTAAGAAGCAAAATAGTCTATGAAGGAATAAAAAAAAACCGTCTTCATTTTGAAGGATTTAATAAAAAAATAATAATTAAATTTAAATCAATAAATAACTTACTTAAATAATAATAAATTAATAGCATTGTTAAGTTAAATAAATAATCGTATTGATAATCTATGTTATAATGTAGTTGCCATGCCATTGGATGGCAAATTTCCATTTAAACCGACAGTGCCTTGTATGGGATACTGACCACGGATAGAGAGCGATCCTCCTACTTCCAAACCGTCCGCTATTATTTCAATGCCAGAATTATAAGCCGATAACGCTTCTGCCAGTAACTGATTATTAATTGGCTCGAATTTGCCAGTGTTAATGTTGTAGCCATTCGCCAAATTAACACTGGCAACATTCATATTTATTGAATTCGGATTAGAAACAGAATTACAAATATTCGAATTATAGTCGTAGAAATTGTTTTGCAATTTTGTATGAGCCAAATTTTGATTGACCGAATTAAGATTGGCTAAGTTAGTGTTGTATAAATACTGGTTAGCTAGATTTGAATTGGCCACGTTCATATTATTGGCAAAAGTATGTACAGTGTTGCCATTTAATAAATTAGAATTTGCCAAGTTGTTACTAATTAAATTTCTAGCTGGCAAGTTGTTGTTACCAGATAAATTGTTCAAGAAAATATTTGAATTTGCACTGGCAATGTTGTTTGCTATTGGCATGTTTCTTAATTGGTTGGTAATTGGTATGTTTGCAGCGTTCATACTGGCCAATGGCAATCTGTTATGTGTTGGCAACCCAATGTTGTTGGCGTTTGAAAGACTGTTGAAATTTTCATAATTCCTGTTGAAGTTCTGAAGAGCAGATGCAGAGATTGGTTGTGAGCCACTGTACGATAGCATTTGGGCAGATGTCAACTGAAATTAAAAAGTAAATCTCATTCTATGTACACATTTATAATCTAGAAACGATTTTTTATACAACTTACAATGGCAAATAAGCTGACGGCCCATCTGATGGAAAGTGATAATCGTCGCCTGTAGACATGAGCAGTACCGTGGACATAACAGAGTATACTGTTTCGCCCATGATACTCCCATGCGTTGCCATTCCTGAGGACTCAGGTGTTATTCCTCTGTACCCAGTAAATTCACGCCATATCCCACCCTTCAAACCGAAACACAGCCATACAAATACAACTGCTTCACGGTTGAAACACGAATGGGACAGAGGTACCCAAGCAATCGACTTATGACTGATTAGAAAAAGGTCATCGCCCATTTCGATATCGCCCATATCGGATATCTATTTTCAAATATCAGTGAAAAGTCAGTTATGCAATATTATTTTTTAGATAACAGACTTTTAACATATTCGTTGATGGACCAATATAGATATTGCAACTAAAATATAAAGATATTGCTATATATTATATATTGAACTCACCCGTATCGTTACAGCCAAACACAAACAAATTAATGTCTTCATAATTACAAATAATTAATACGAATAATTGCTCTAAGATCAATTGATTGTCTTTTATAATGATTTATCAAACTGATAAGGTATTTGGTAATAAATCTACGTGATTTGTTCGACAACTGTTGAAAGATTGATTCTTAGAAACCTAATATCTATATTGGAAACTTATCAAGATAAATATGACTATTATAAATAGTCTTTTATTTTTATTTTATTTTATTTCAATAGATAGATAGATAGATAGATATATCGTTTATTTGTTTGCTACTAATCACACACAACATGTTCATAAGAATAGATAATACATAATACAACGTAAGATTTATAAAATTGTGTTATTATGTGTGATCTGCAGCAATACAAAAAGGTCGAAGGTACAAATAGGTACACACTACAGAGAATTAACATGGTCACATTAATTTATACAGTACAATAATGTATTGTTCAAGCTAACCCTCCAAAAATATGCGTACACAGCATGATCAAAACATAAACACACAGCTAAACAAGTCTGTAAACATAATATAATTTATACAACAAAAAATTATTTAACTTTTTTTTTATACAACTTAGAATGGTAAACAAGCTGACGGCCCACCTGATGGAAAGTGGTAACCGTCGCCTATAGACATGAGCAGTGCCATGGACATAACAGAGTATACTGTTTCGCTTATGATACCCCCCATGCGTTGCCATTCTTGAGGACTCAGGTGTTATTCCTCTGTACCCAGTAAATTCACGCTATATCCCACCCTTCAAACCGAAACACAGCCATGCAAACACAACTGCTTCACGGTTGAAACATGAATGGGACAGAGGTACTCAAGCAATCGACTTTTGTACAAAGTCTCCCTCTGTCTTATACATTGACAATTATAAAGGTAAATATACAAACACATGGATAATCATATACATATATATACACATACATATTTTGTATACATACATATATACATACATTAAATTTTGTAGGAAGTAGATAACAAAAATCACTGAAGAAAATATTAATTATTGATTCCTTATAAGTTGATATCTATTGACAGACTCTTGGCCACAACAGAATATCAGTGTTTTGCTCTTTTGAGGTTTGCAATAAATGCGTGCGGGTCGCCAATACCTATTTCCCGGATGGGAGACTCAACACGCTCAACAACAAATACATAAAACATTACAACAAATACATAAAACATTACAACAAATACATAAAACATTACAACAAATACACAAAACATTACAACAAATACACAAAACATTACAAAAAATACACAAAACATTACAACCAAAACTGAAAAGAACAATCTCTGAACAAATTATCGCAACTCACAATGACAGCTTATTATTAGATATTTACTTATTTATTGGAAACCAACGGCGTTACAGTTAAGATTTACATACTAGTATTTAAAATATTAAGGCTAATAATAGGTTTCTTATTATTATAAAAGTACAAAATTGGTTTGCGCAAAAAAGGAAAAGTACAATGCAGACATGCAATCACGAGACTATAATAATTAATAATTATTATTAATTACCTTATTATATTAATAATTATTGACACTCGAACTTGCCCACTATTGTTACTTTTCCAAGAGCCGGTACCGTTCCTTTGTATGATACCTCATTTTTAATATTAACATCGATTTTGTCCGAAGGTCCCATCTTTGGTACGAATAAGTCTGCGCCCTTATTGTTCCTGCTGTAAATTAAAAAAAAATTATGCCACAAGAAAATACAATTAAATATTGCGTCCTACAAAAAAAACCAATTGTGTGAAAAAACCAGTTATATTGATTTAAAAAATAAATTACTGCACCAATTTTGAAAAATCTCTGTAAGACCAATCTCTAAGTAGTGTAATTCACACTTTGTACAGCAATCTTATGAAAATTAACTCTAATTGTCATAATATATATTTTTTTAATATTTTTTTTTAATTTAATTCACTCATAATCTTATTTTCTGATATTGTTCACAACTTAGATTACATGTTTATTTTTGTTATTTACTTAATTTTCTAACACTGTATAATTATGTTAAAGTGAATGCTGTGAATACCTATAATAGGCGTGTGCATTAATATTGTATTGTATTTAATGTTGTTATACCTATATGTTATAATGCAATATGCTGTTGGTGTTCCTTAAATAAATAAATAAATAAATCAAATTATATATATACATCTTAGTAAGCATAAACTATAAATATCTAAATAGAAGAAATATTTTTTATCTTTAAATAATGTTTTTTTATTATATTATATATTTTATTATATAATGTTACATTATTTATCTATATTAACTATCTCTTCAATCTCTAAGTGTATTCTTTCAGATAAAAAAATAGAATTTTTTCAAATCTGTATAAAACTGAAGAAGTTATGAGGTAACAAACAAAAAAAGCACGATGCAATTTCGAAACTTCTTCTCTTTGTGGTTTGTTGAAAATTAAATCGACTAAACTAAACAATCGTGTCGATTATTTTGCAATTCGATAATACTTTCAAATACATATGTACGAGTACATTTTTTTATATTACAAAAGTGGCAAACGAGCATGTAACCTGTCTGATGGTAAACGGTCACTACAGACTATAGACGCCTGCAATACCTGTCCGCTAAACGTGGCAACTAATAATAATAATAATAAATAATCTTTATTTCACTCTTTGTTACAATATAATTTGAAGTCCCTAACTGCCGAGGTAGGTATGAAAAAACCTGTGTTTCAGGAGTTAGTGCCCTCTTCCATATGTTTTTGTTTAACATTTTTAGTGAAACAATATGAAACAGAGAAGTAACAAATACAAAAAACAAAAATTACAATGGAGCCCATAATTTTAGAGAAACAATAATTTATGGGTTCAGGGAAGTTGTGATAAAAATGTATGCGTGTGTGTGTGTGTGTGTGTGTGTGTGCGTGTGTGAATGTGTGTGTGTGTGTGTGGGTGTGTGTGTGTGTGGGTGTGTGCGTGTGTATATATGACATATGAATAGGTTATGTATAAGTGTATGTATATGTGAGAAAAGACGGATGAGTAGGAGTGCCAAAAAAAAACTACTGCCAATAAATGGTATCATAGTACACTTGTAAAATACTTGCCTTTTTAAATAATTATAATATGATTTTATTCGTTCATTGTACTGAAGTATCATATTGTAGACACTTGGATTCTGAGACACGTCCTGACTTGGTAAATGTCTGGTTTGAAACGACGTGATTGGATTCGAGTCCGTTGATTTACTAGAAAAAAAAAACAATAAAATACTTTTTTTAAATCTATAATTATGAATAATGAAAAAGAAATGAATTAAATTAGAAATTTTAATCAATCGCCGAAACGTCTGAACAGTTTTTTTTTTATGCAACTTAGAATGGCAAACAAGTTGACGACCCACCTGATGGAAAGTGGTAACCGTCGCCTATAGACATGAACAGTACCATGGACATAACAGAGTATACTGTTTCGCCCATGATACCCCCAATGTGTTGCCAATCCAGAGGACTCAAGTGTTATTACTCTGTACCCTGTAAATTCATTGCCATATGCCATCCTTCAAACCGAAACACAGCCATGCAAACACAACTGCTTCACAGTAGAAACACGAATGGGACAGAGGTGCCCAAGCAAACGACTTTTATGCAAAGTCTCCCTCTTCATAAATTATAGCTAGTACTATTTAAAAATTGTTACATTCTTTCATAGTATTTAAGTTAACAACATCGAATAACAAAAGTTTTATAATATATTATTTTCTATCTATCCGTGCAAAGCCGGGGCGAGGCGCTAGTAAATTTAAACATATGACCCGTGCTTTATTTTGGATGTTCTTTAAAAACTTACCTCTTCAGAAAGTTGTAATATCTTTTATTAATCTCATTGTATTGGAGAAGAGCTTTGTAGATGTTCGAACTGGTCTCTGATTCAGGCAGGAGCGAAGTGGTAGGATGCTCATAATATTCCGGTCCATTCATACCCTTGTATGAAAGCTTATGTATTATTGGACTGGTTCCTGAGGTAGGAGCCTGTAAAATAACATCAGATATTAAATAATTAAAAGATTGTGTCCCACACAAAAGAAAAAAACTTCTAATGTGACAAAACCGGTTTTTTTGGTCTAAAAGCTAAATTACTGAACCGATTTTTATAAAATTTCTATAGGACCAATATTTAAGTATATCCTGTCAGACAAAAAAAAGAATTATTCGAATCAGTTTACAACTGACGGAGTTATGAGGTTTAAATATACGGTTAAAATTAGGCTCTAAGTAGCAATTTATGATTTGCCCGAAGATGTTTAGAGATGAAACACGTGTCACAAAACGTGCGTGAGCAAAATGACAGACGGAGATTAATGGCTAATATGGCAGATTTTAGAACGTCTGGTAGTAATAGTGGTGGTCAATCTAAGAGTGTTGGTATACACACATACTAATAGTAGCGGAATTAAACAATTCTAATCCCCTAACTAGTTACATGACATGAACATGACATGAAGACATGAACAGTACAATGGACATAACAGAGTATACTCTTTCGTCCATGATACCCACCATGCGTTGCCATTCCTGAGGACTCAGGTGTTATTCCTCTGTACCTTGTAAATTCACTGCCATATCCCATCCTTCAAACCGAAATACAGCCATGCAAACACAACTGCTTCACGGTAGAAACACGGATAGAACAGAGGTATCCAAGCAAACGACTGTAAGGTTCTTCAAAAAGGGCGTATTAAGGTTTCTTTAGGGTTGCCAACGCGCGCGTGATATACCTGGTGTGACATTCGTAAGCTATGGTAACCTCGTTTACGGTAACCCATCAGGTGGGGGGAAAGGGATTGTTAGTAATGGAGTTTGACAGCCCCATTGCTAGCAATATGCCTTATTACGTCGACCACCACGTAGTTCCCCCTGGAAACCATCGTGGACAATTCTTGTTGAATTCGTCACGATGGACTAACTGACCTGCTTCATCCTCACCTATCATCCTTCACTGGTGTCCCGCCGGTGTACACCGATAGCACGGGTGGGGTTACCATTCCATTATCATCCATTAAAAAAACCCGCATCAGACGGGGCGTTTGCTTGTTTGCTACTGTAGTGGTATAAAAAAAAAACTTCACGTCAGCAACACGCGTTGAAGTACCTGTGTAGACTACTTCATTGCAAAGCTCCCTCTGGTGGATACATACCGGTAACGTAATAGTAGCGTGCGGAGCTTCTATTGGCGGTAATTCATACTGAATATTGAAAACCAGTGGCGACTCGCATTCAATTTTGATGCCTGCGGCGTACTGAAAGAAAGGTGGTGATTTATGTATGATATTAAACTATTTTTTTTTGGATCTGAAATCGTCATAGTCGTAGAATACTGACGGATCTGCCGAATACTACATATAAAGATCCGTCAGTATTCTACGACTATGACGATATGTCAACGTCGTCATAATTTTAGGCATTAACTGCTGAATATAAGCTTCCTTGGGGCCTTTGCCAGTAGCTGCCACGCTTGGCAGTCGGATTGGCAACTGTAGTTAAGCTTTGAAGATGTTTTAAGAGGGACGCTGCTGCCCATCCCTCGCCTTCCCTTAGTCGCCTCATACGACACCCACAGAAAAATGACCTATTCTATGCTGGAACCATACGAAACAAATGCATATTAATCTATACTTATAATAAATCTGTAGAGAGGTCAATTCTGTACATGAAATATATTTCCAAAACAACTATCAGGGGGTGATTAGTGATCGATACTGATGCCAAAAATGCAACCAGTAAAATTTTTGTCTGTCTGCCTGTATGTTCGTTATAGAAACAAAAACTACTCAACGGATTTTAAAGAAACTTAGTACAATTATTCTTCATACTCCCGGGCAGGTTATAGTATACTTTTCATCACGCTACGATCAATAGGAGCAGAGCAGTGAAGGGAAATGTTAAAAATATCCACCAGTGCGACGCCGGGACGGGCCGCTAGTAAATAAATAAATAAGTATTGAAATAAATGAATACACCCATGGTATCCCATGTATTACCATTCTTACAAGCTAAGGCGTTATGTTTCCTAACCCTATAATTTCAGGTTGGAAGGGATTATTAGTAATGAGCAGCTAATAGCTCCATTGCTAGCAATATACTCTATCAGGTCGTCCTCCATGTGATTCCTTCTGGAAACCATCTGGGTTGATTCTTATGGAATTCATCACGATGGGCTAACTGGCTTGCTTTCATCCTCACCTATCATCCTTCACTGGTGCCCACCAGCGTATACCGATAGCGCTGACGGGGTTACTATTCCATTATCACCCATTAAAGAAACCGACTAACCGACAACCGATGGGGAAGAAAGGTTCTTGAGTGGCAATCGCATACGGGTAAACGTAATGTACGACGACCCCACACTAGATGGAGTGACGACCTAAAATGCATTGCAGGGAGTCAGCGGATGCAGGTGGCTCAGGACAGTTCTTTATGGCAGTCTATGGGGGAGGTTTATATCCAGCAGTGGACGGATAATGGCTGAAAAGATGATGACGGTGATCACTTTAAACAAAAACAACAACTTACTTTAGTTATCACAAAATGCTGGAACAATATTATGAAAATATTACAAAAATTCATTGTAAATGATAGTACAATTTCAAATGTAATATTACAATACTATAAATTTTGGCTTTTATACACGAAATAAACACAACATGACCCTGTTTTAATACTTATATTTTTATTATATTCACTTATCTATATTAAAAACAGGTGTTCCACATGCGGCCACTAATAAAAAGCAGATGATGTATTTTTGTCTGTGTGTAAATGTAAAAAAAATATTGTATGTTCCTCCAAAAAGATTCTCAGTTTGACCATATTTTTCTTGTAATATTTGTTGTTGTGCTTTTGTTGTCTGATTAAATTATAAATATAACTATAATTTAATCAGACAACATTAGGCCTATTTTGTTAATTATAAATTGACTTAACCTTATATTTATTACCTCATAACTCCGTCAGTTCTAAACCGATTTGGATTTTTTTTTCATCTCAAAAGATATATTTACGTATTGGTCTCATAAAATTTATTATTTAACTGAATAAATTTTATCAAAATTGAATCAGTACTTTAGTTTTAAATCCAAATAATTGCGTTTCTCACAATTGAAGTAGATTTTTTTTTTATATAACTTAGAATGGCAAACAAGCTGACGGCCCACCTGATAGAAAGTGGTAACCGTCGCCTATAGACATGAGCAACACCGTGGACATAACAGAGTATACTGTTTCGCCCATGATACCCCCCATACGTTGCCATACCTGAGGACTCAGGTGTTATTCCTCCGTACCCAGTAAATTCATGCCATTTTTGTGGGTCCTAATCTTTATTGTTAATGGGTGTAAATAAAACAGTGATAGGGCACCAGTCAGGAATGATAGTGGTCAGTCAGTTAGATTGCTAGCAATAGCTAGCAATAAGGCTGGTACCCCTGTTACCAACAACCCCCGTACTGACATCTTTAGGGTGAAATAGCATGATAATATTGAATGCTCAATTTATAACTATACAATATGAATTAATTTTGTATTCAAGTAAGTGGAGACGCGGGAAATAACTAGTTTAAAAAAAGGACATGATAACAACTTAAATAATAAAAAAAATAACAGCTTTTAGATATTAATTTCACAATAAGCGTGTAATCAGCATTTTTGCGTGTCTTATTATATAAAAACAAAAATTTAATATTTTTCCTTTGTCTATGCTACTTTTGGCGGGATATGCATTAATCTGTATTGTCTATGCGCTGTCTATGAAGTATTTATATTTAATAACTAGTTTTTTTCCCGCGACTTCGTATGTGCGGATCTTAGAATGGAGCAGAAGTAATGAAATAGACTTTCCGTTGTTGTTTCGGCATAGAATAGGCCATCCCTTTCTTTCTCGTGGGTGTCGTAAGAGACAACTAAGGGAAGGCGAGGGATGGATAGCAGCGTCCCTCTTAAAACATCTCCAAAGCCTAACTGCGGATGCCATTTCGCCAGTCAAGCGTGGCAACTACTGGCAAAACCCCTCAAGGGGAGGCTTATGTTCAGCAGTGGACAGTTACGAGTAAAAGCTGATATGATGATGATGATGATGATGATGATGAATGAAATAGACTACTTCTAGATGATGTATCAAGACAAAATGTATCGATTGATATTGTATGATTTTAAGTCCCATCGTTAGGAACACAACTGAGATTGCATCTAATTTATCCTTAGGAATGAAGTGGCATAAAGTCAACCATTATTTTAGAATGTATTCTGTTATATACAGTCTGGTATAGTACAGTTTATATTGTTTTTAATTGATAATGGAATGGTAACCCCGTCTGAGCTAACGTTATACGCTGGGGGGGCACCAGTGAGGGATAATAGGTGAGAATGAAAAGGCAGATCAGTTAGCCCATCGTGATGAATACACCTGAAGTTCAGCACGTTCTCTAAGGGGCCACGTAGAAGTCAATATGACAGGGTATGGTTTACGGTATACTATTTAAGGCATCCCGTCTTCGCTATTGGATACGGGTTGAAGAGGGTACATTGAAGAGGGTACATTGTGGGCGCAGTTTAGACGCAATATTTGAGGAGCATTAGGAAGGTACTACGGCCGGATACTGCAACAAATGAGTATGTGGTCGGCCCCCGAACTGGCGACCTCTGCTGTCTACCGGCCCCCAATATGGCAGGGTATATTGTTAGCAATGGGATTGGTAGTTCGCATTACTCCCCCCCCCCCCCCGCTCCGTAATGTTTATGTTTACTTAAACAAAGGTTAAAGATTTCCATAGATGGGCCAGCAGCTTTTTTGCCCTTATAATGATTATAAAAATAATTCTGTATTTGCTGTGATTTGAAAAATTTTACTGTCCACTTTTAAATAAAGACTCTTGCAGCTGGTTTGTAATTCTTAATTGCAAAAGAAAGAATATATTATATTGTATTGTAAAACCTTTATTATACATAATTTACATTGGACACATTGAAAAGATTTAATATATAATGGCGGACTTATCCCATAGAGGGATCTCTTACAATCAACCTTTGAGAAGCTGGAAGAAAACTATAGAATGTTCAAAGGTAAAAACCGTGCACTTAAAGATAAAACTCAATAATAGTAAAAAATTTGTTTATTTAACCTTTTTATTACTTTTTTTCTTTTTATGTTTCTCATATAATTAATACATATTATTATTCCATTCGTTATTTTCGAGGCAAAGTCTAAAAGTCAAAGTCCAAACCTACAGCTTTAAAGAGTAACTCTTGGCCTTCAGCGTCCGTGGACTCCCCGTAAAGTTCTTCCCTTTGTGATCATCGTTCCAGTTGGAAGAAAGTGACCTACACAATTTTAATTGTGTATATTAAGGACAGAATATTTAGGCTTATCTATTTCCTTAAGGTCTATGAAACAGTTTCCTCTTCATTTCTTCGAATCTAAACCATTTGTGTAATATGGGATTGTTCTTCTGTGGTATTACATCGATAATTTCGTATTTTATCTGAAAAAAAAATACATTTAACTATTTATTATAAGAATCAATAAAAAAAATATTCTATTCTATTTAATTATAATTCGTTTTCGTCTTTGAGTTTTTTTTTATGCAACCTAGAAAGGCAAAACAAGCTGAATTCCCATCTGATGTAAAGTGGTAACTGTCGCCTATAGACATGAGCAGTACCATGGACATAACAGAGTATACTATTTCGCCCATAATACCCTCCATACGTTGCCATTCCTGAGAAGTCAGGTGTTATTCCTCTGTACCCTGTAAATTCACTGCCATATTCCACCCTACAATCGAAACAAAGCCATGAAAACACAACTGGTTCGCGGTAGAAACACATTCGTGTTTCACTGAAGTGCCCAAGCAAACGACTTTTGTACAAAGTCTCCCTCTAGTAAAGAGGTTTTAATGCTATTGGAGATTGGATAATATAAGGCCAAATGTATTTCTTGCTGCTGTTCTCAATAGCAAGATGATGTTATTGAATAATAATGGAGTGATAATTACTTCAGTGCTATCAGTATACGCCGGCGAGGCACCAATTAAGGGTCATAGGTGAGGATGAAGCAAGTCAGTTAGCCCATCGTGACGAATTCAGCAGTAAATCAATCACTTGTGTGCCCATTATGTGTTTCAGGAGAAATTGTGATGAGATTAACCTAATAAGGAATATTGCTAGCAGTGAGGTTGCTAATCCCCATTTCTAGGGGGAAAGGGATCGTCAGCAATGGAGTTTGACAGTCCCATTGCTAGCAATATGCCCTATTAGGTCGATCTTCACGTGGTTCCCCCTGGAAACTATCGTGAACAATTCTTGTTGAATTCGTCACGATAAGCTAACTGATCTACTTCATCTTCACCTATCATCCATCGGGTGGGGTTACCATTCCATTATCACACATTAAAAAAATCCCCGTTTCTAATATTCCCTTATCCAACTCTGGTGCTGCAGCTGAACCACTTCCGCAGCTTTATCAGCTAAAAAGGCCACCTCCTCCCAACAATTCTTTACCAGCAATCTACCTAGAGTATTCTGTACAAGCATAGATAAAATGGCAATGAAATTTATAATAAAAGAAACTAGTAGCTTGTATCCTCACCTCACTTAGATTCAAATCCACATTCGGTGAGATATTGTTTGCCAATAGCTGAAATGGCATTTGTCCTTCTACTGGATTTTTAATTGGCCATATTACATTCACTTCTGGCAAGGTCGTTACGACTGGCAAGCCAGATAACACCGGTAATGATTGCATTACTGGCAAATCGTATTTTTCTATTGGTAAAACGGATTGAGTGTATGGAGTCTGATCTTCAACAGCCAAATTGGTTTCGCTTTGTAACGGAGCTGTTTTGGCCATAGACAAATCTACCATAGGCGATGACTCTGCATGTCGACCTTTCAAATTGTGTGCGTTTGGCAATATTTCTGCTTCTGTGTGTGTGGGTGAGAATGCCAAACTCTTAGCTGTCCTAAGACGTGGAACTTTTTTATAAAATCTTCCTTTTTTCTCATGAGCTTGTTTCCTATATACTTTCTTATTTTTTCTCGCCGACTCCGCTGTTGCCAATATCTATTAAATAAAGTATTTAATTGAATTCATTGAAACATTTAATTAACTTCTTGCAAGTTGTAATAAAAAGGACAAATCCAAAGTTATTACTAGAGGGAGACTTTGTACAAAGTCGATTGCTTGGGTGCCTCTGTCCCATTCGTGTTTCAACCGTGAAGCAGTTGTGTTTGCATGGCTGTTTCGGTTTGAAGGAATAGGATATGGCGTGAATTTACAGGGTACAGAGGAATAACACCTGAGTCCTGAAAAATTAAATTTCTCAATTTCTCGTAAGAAATAAAAATAAAAAAAATGAATAACCCTGGGTATGATAATCAAAATAATCCACAGAAAACAGAGATTTAAACAAATGACTTTTATGCAAAATCTCCCTCTTTTTCTCTTATATTCTAAGTTCTAAGTACAAAATAGTAATTAAATACTTACATAAAGAGAGAATAAACACATTAATAACACATAGCGACTGTTCATTTTGGTATTTATCTAAAATAACACGTGTCCATAGCTTGTTTTCAACCCTTTATACTACGAATTTATCTAGTTTTATATGAATCACGGTCTATGATTCATTATTAACTCGTGAGATAAAAGAACAGCAATTTTATTTCATGTTTTTATTTTTTTTTACAACACAGGGAGCAAACGAACATGCGGTTCGTGGTATTTTGCCCTCTGTAGTATAATGGTGATGATAGATTATGGTAAGTACCTACCAGCATACATGAGCACCCGCAAGATTAAAGCAATTGCAAATATGCTGCAAATATGCTCTATTCTTGTACAAAAAAAAAAATATTACGTAATGAAATTAATTAATTTATTCTTTTTTTTGCTTAATTTTGTATATATATATATATATATATATATATATATATATATATATATATATATATATATATATATATATATATATATATATATATATATATATATATATATATATATATATATATATATATATATTATACGAAACTCTTTTTAAATACTATATGTATTTAAAAAACAAACAGAGTTTCAGGCCTCCAGTCAAACTGTTTAAATTACTCTTCTCCATCCAAAGGTTTTTTTTTTATTATTTTTTTTATACAACTTAGAATGGCAAACAAGCTGACGGCCCACCTGATGGAAAGTGGTAACCGTCGCCTATATGACATGAGCAGTACCATGGACATAACAGAGTATACTGTTTCGCCCATGATACCCCCCATGCGTTGCCATTCCTGAGGACTCAGGTGTTATTCCTCTATACCCAGTAAATTCATGCCAAAAGGTTGCCTGCAAGAGATCGCTCTTAGCGATAATCGCCCATTGTTTTCTTAGAGTAATATTTTCTAATAATTGTTTGTATTTATAATAAATTTGCTATTGTAATCTTTCGGAGGATACAATAAAGAGTATCTATCTATCTAAATGCATATTACAGCAGTCTCAGCAAGAATTAGTATGTGTGCGTGAGTGGCAATATTTGTCGAAACAAGGTCCGTGCTCAGCATGCTGCTGTAGTGTCAGGGACACTGTAGCGCTTTATAATAAGATCATGCTGTGTACGCATAATTTTGGAGGATTAGCTTGAATAAAACGTTATTGTACCGTATAAATGAATGTAACATTGTTAACTCTCCGTAATATGTCTGCAATTCCTCTGGTGTTGTGAGTGCTTATGGGCGGCGGTAGTCACTTACCATCAGGTGAACCGCATGTTTGTTTGTCCCCTCCCTCATACATTGATATAAGTCAATAAAATAATAATGATAATAATACCCATACATACATACGTAAATGTACAAAAGCATATAAATAAATAAATAAAAACAAACACATGTTGATTAATTTAATCAAAAATAAATAATGTAACAAACATAACAAAATTTATTCTAAACTCTTATTAAATTACAATGATGATAAATTTATAACTTTTTCTTTCACGCCAATCACTGGCATGCCATTGAACAGTGGCAGATTGCCAATGCCACTCAACTGTAGTCCACTTAAGGAAACGAAAGGCGAATCACTCGATGTGCTCGATAAAGAATTCGCAAATCCATCCTTCAATAAAAACACAGCCCCCGGTTCGTTACAGTCACAATCATTGCCAATTGATAAGTTTGGCAGTTGTAAATTATTGTTGCCATATTTTGATATATTTGGCAAATTTGCCAATTGGTCGTAGGATATGAAATTCTCAAAGGAAACACCGTTTACTGGCGTTAAATTGGAGATTTGGTGATTACCAACTGTGAAAGTAGTGGCGATTGGATTATTTGGCACGCCATTGGGAAAGGATAAAACATTTAAATGTTGATTACTTTGTGGAAAATTAATTGGCAATTGATTGGCAGGAGGAATACCATTGGCATTAATTGGCATATAATTGAAATTTGGCAAACCGGTTGGTAAAAGTATGGCATTATTATAATTTGGCATATTATTGAATCGTGGTAAATTATCATTTGGTATAAACACATTACGAGGAGACGGTATATTGTTGAATTTGTTGTTATTAGGTATTGGCAAATCATTAATAATTTGATAGTTATTAGCAATTGGTAGATTATTGGCCATTGGAAAATGATTAACTGTTGGCAGACTATTGGCCATTGGATTTGGTATTGGTAGATTATGGACTTGAAAATTATTGGGTATTGAAGGGTAATTATTGACTATTGGTAGGTTACTAGGAATTGCTATATTATTAACCATCGGTAGGTTGGAGGGTACTGGATAATTGTAACTCATTGGCAAATTATTGTTTAATAAATTATTACTGACTATTGGCAGATTATTGCCTACAGTTCTTGGCACATTATTAGAAATTGGCAACCCATTTCCAAACGGAAAATTGTTTACAACAGGTGCATTATTGATCATTTTGTAATTATTGGCATTTGGTAAATTATGATTAGACATACCATATTTTTTATTAGGTGGCAAATTATTTGCCACACCTAAGTTATTTATCTGGGGTATATTGTTAACTCGATAACCATTTGGAATCGGATAATTGGTGGAATATGGGAATCTATTCATTGCACCATTATGCAATTCTTTAGCAATAGGTAGATTCGATATTGGCATGTTATTTGGTAAACGATATGTTGGCAGTCCATTATTTGTTAATGGACTTAATGGTATATTTTGTGTGACTGGCAGATTATTTAATGGTAATGTTTTGGAATTTGGCAACATATTGATTGGCATATTATTTGAAATTGGAACACTCTTGAACGGATATGTGATTGGCAAATTGTTGGCAGACAAATCGTTCTGGCGTGCTCCATATCCTATATTTGCCAACGGTGCATTGTACTGGCCGAGTACAATCTGAAAAAAAATGAAAAATATATATTAGATGTTTGTTCAATAATGCTAGGACAGATTTGAATGAAATTTTGTTCACAAATAGATGATACCCCGTTAACATGCGGGATAATTACTATCTATATACCGCGGTATCGTCCTCGATCATATCTAGATGTTATTATAGCCTATAGCTGTCCTCAAAAAATGAGGTATCAAATACAATAAGGTTTTCCAAATTCGACTGACTGGTAATTCCGGGGATAGGGCATACAAACAAAATCTTTGGTTTTATTATATTTATTATATTAACCATTAACTGTTTACTGCTAAACATAAGCGTACCCCTATTAGAGGTTCTTGCCACTAGTTGCTACACTTGGCAGCGTTAAAACGCTATAAAGTAGCAAACATACAAACTCACTTTCAAATTTATAATATTAGTAAGGTATTAAAATTAATATTGGTTGCGAAATTATTAAATATCAGTCTATTAATGGCCATGACATTTAGCTATATCTATTTATATGTACGTGCTGAAAAATACATGTTCAAAGACAAAACTTTGTTTTTTTTTTTTTTACTTTGCTGCTTATCAGTAGATGACTAAGTCCTTTGTTTTTAGACGCTTTTCAACCGAATTTAAAAAAGAGGGGTTTATCAGTTCTATTGTGTTTTTTTTTTTATAATTGTTAACATATAATTCCGTTATTTATAAACCGATTTGAATTTTTTTTTTGAAAGGATATCTCTCTTTCTCTCTCTGGCAGAAAATTTACAAGGTACAGAGGTATAACACCTTAGTCCTCAGCAATGGCAACAGTCCTGTGACCAAGGTGTTATGTCCATGGTACTGCTCATGTCTAAAAACGACGGTTACCACTTTCCATTAGTTGGGCCGTCAGCTTGCTTGCTCCTATACGTTGCACGAAAAAAATTTAAAATTATTTATGAATAAAACATACTTATAATATGACCAAAGACTTACCTGTATATATAATAATTTAATTAAAAAAATCAGCGGCCACTTCATATCTTTTTTTTTTATCTCGTAACAGTTACCATTTAGAAATAATTTTATTGCAGTAATGCGTAATATGGCAACATCGATGTAGTTTTATAGATGTATTATCTACGAATACGCTCACTATCTCAGATTGAGAAAAAAAAAAATATAATTATTGTTCTGTGAACGAAAATTAAATAAATTATCTTTATGTGAAAGTTTTTATTAAAAGTCACGCTCATCTCGATAAGGTATTTGGAAATAATTCAAATGTAAAAATATATTTTATCAACCAGTATCAAGGAGGGAGAGGTTCTCTTAAAAAAAAGTATCGTAATTAAAAAAAAAAAAACATATTTACTAGAATTAAGTAGAATTAAGTAATCATGTGGCGTGAATTTACTGGGTACAGAGGAATAACACCCGAGTCCTGGGCGAAACAGTATACTCTGTTATTGTTCATGGTACTGCTCATATCTATAGGCGACGGTTACCACTTTCCATCAGGTGGGCCGTCAGCCTGTTTGCCATTCTAAGTTGTATAAAAAAAAACCTACTAACGTGGTTTTTTTTTTAATTATTTACTAGAATAACCCAGTAAACTTGGTGTCATCTACGAAGCAATTTATTGAAATTAATCCGAAGTATTGGTTCCCGGAAATACAAAAGTAGCTAATTCTGTATTGCCTATTTTTGAATTTATCGGTTTTTTCAGAGGAACTTTAGAGTTGACCAAACTTTTTTTTTTTAATCACCTTTGAAGGATAAAGATATATTTTTTTTTCAAGTAATCTTAGATTTGAGCATTTTTTAATAGTCACCTATGTATCTGTGAGAAGCCAGGCCGGATCTCCGTTTTATAAATGTAAAAGTAGGTGCCTCAACGGTTTGACCAATGGACATGAAATTTTCTATATTAATTGAAAAGGTCACAGGTTATTTTTATCCCGGTCAGTGAACTTATCCAGGTCACGACTTTGTACAAAAGTCGATTGCTTGGGTACCTCGAGGAAACCTAGGGTACCTAGAGGAATAACATCTGAGTCCTCAGGAATGGCAATGCATGAGGGGTATCATGGGCGAAACAGTATACTCTGTTATGTCCACGGTACTGCTCATGTCTATAGGCGATGGTTACCACTTTCTATCAGGTGGGCCGTCAGCTTGTTTGTCATTCTAAGCGGTGTAAAAAAAAATAAAGAAAAAAAAAACGACAAATCCGCGGGTAAGAGATAGTATTATCATAAATTATTATACTCACGTAATTGGCCAAGACCTTGATTAAGAATGCATTAACAAGAAAATTCAATGTTTTGATTAGCATGCACTTGCAGTTTTATAAATTGCATTTATGAGGTCACTCACCTCGAAATATTTCGCACTGAAATCATTTTCAAGTGATTTCAATAAAGAAGGATTTTGTAATATTTTTTTTTATGCAATTCAGAATGGCAAACAAGCTGACGGCCCACCTGATGGAAAGTGGTAACCGTCGCCTATACACATAAGCAGTAGCATGGACATAACAGAGTATACTGTTTCACCCATGATACTCCCCATGCGTTGCCATTCTGAGGACTCAGGTGTTATCCCTCTGTACCCTGTAAATTCAATGCCATATCTCACCCTTCAAACCGAAACACAGCCATGCAAACACAACTGCTTCACGGTAGAAACACGAATAGGACAGAGGTACCCAAGCAATCGACTTTTGTACAAAGTCTTCCTCTAGTATACTGATTGTCCCTCTAGTATATTGATTTATTATATATTTTAGTATCGATATTTTTGACGTAATTACGTATCTCGAAACGTCATGCTCGGGGGGAAAGGGATTGTTAGCAATGGAGTTTGACAGCCCCATTGCTAGCAATATACCCTATTAGATCGACCTCCACGTGGTTCCCCCTGGAAACTATCATGAACAATTCTTATTTTATTAGTCACGATGGACTAACTGATCTGCTTCATTCTCACCTATCATCCTTCACTGGTGCCCCGCCGGCGTATATCGATAGCGCGGGTGGGGTTACCATCCTATTGTCACCCATTAAAAAAAAAATTCATTGTCACTTTAATCTCCACATAGGTGGCAGCGTGGTAAGCCGGGTTGTTTGGCTCCCTATAATATAGTTGAACGCAACGATGGCTGGCTCATCCGTCATACTCGTGAACGCGTGAGTCTAGTAGGGACCGGTCTGTTCAGGAATACTGTGATTGATTGTAGCGTTGTAGCTTTTTTATTTCTTTTACCAACACGAAATTTGTGATAGTCATTTTATCGAGTCATATTTTTTAATTTTTTTTTGTTGTACACTTAATTATTATTTGAAGAAAGCAACTGCAAGAAGCAAGCAGCTGTGTTTCTTGGCCGTTCTTCTCAGCTAAAATTGCATTCCGAACTTAGTGGTAGATGCATAAAAAACACTATTAAAAAATATTTATTAAGTTTACTTGAGTAATAATAATACAATAAGTTGGTAAGTATAATTTACCAGAAAATATTTATTTTTTTAATTATTTACTGTACCGTTTAAAAACTAATATAAAAATAATATATTATACTTATGAAGTACAAAAGGCGGTCTTATTGGCAACCGCAGTTAGGCTTACCAGAGGGAGACTTTGTACAAAAGTCGTTTGCTCTGTCCCATTCGTGTTTCAACCGTGAAGCAGTTGTGTTTGCATGGCTGTGTTTCGGTTTGAAGAGTGGGATATATATTTACTGGGTACAGAGGAATAACACCCGAGTCCTCAGGAATGGCAACGCATGGGGGGTATCATGGGCGAAACAGTATACTCTGTTATGTCCATGCTACTGCTCACGTCTATAGGCGACGGTTACCACTTTCCATCAGGTGGGCCGTCAGCTTGTTTGCCATTCTAAGTAGTATAAAAAAAAAATGCTTTAGAGATGTTTTAAGAGGGACGCTGCTGCCCATTCCTTTCATTATTGTTATCTGTGTATTATAACACTAATTGGTTGCCTTGTATTTGTGTAGTCCATGGAGATGGGGCACTGGTGACTTGTAACACAGGTTCTTCTAAACCTACCGCAAGCACCAGTCTCTCACAAAACTGGTCTTCATTTCAAATTGTACCTCATGTTGTTACTTTATTCCACCTTTTGTGAAGAGAAAATAAACCGTTCATTCATTCATTCATTCATTCTTAAGGTAAAGCGAGGTACGCATGTAGATATGTCTACATACAGCAAGCATGTGTATATATATTTGAAGATCATTAAATTAAGTTTCTTAGAATTCCTCGGCGTCTCTTAGTCGCCTCTTACGACACCCACGGGAAGGGATGGGATGGCCTATTCTATACCGGGACCACGCAGGACAGTATGTTCAACAATAAAATAAATACAACATTAATTTTGCAGTTAACTGCATTAAAAATTAAACCATGTTTCAATCATATACCTAAGTTTATTTTTAAATAAATTAATACAGTTTATTCTAAAATAAATAAAAATGGGAATTCAAAATAAGATAAATAGATAGATAAATTAATAGATACACTTTATTGTTTCCTCCAAAAGATTACAATAGTAAACTTATTATAGATATAAACCTGTAAAAGGCGTTTGCATTAATATTGTATTATTTTTAATGTTTGTTTTATGTGTTATAATGCAATATGCTGTTGGTTTATTCGATATAGAGGCAGAATGTGTACGGGAAATGTAAATCTCTTTCGTCTAAAACTACTTGCATTCTAGCAAAATAAATTCATTTTATTTCGTTTCAACTATATGCCTCTAACAATGACGTTGGCGGAGTCATCAATCAAAATTGGTGGCAGCCATTTAAATTGAACGAAGAAGAACTATATGCCTTATTTATGTATTGTGTATTTATTTATTTATTAGTACAAATATGTGTACATGGCGGACTTAATGCTAAAAGCATTCACTCCCAGTCAACCATAGGGAAGTGTCAGTGTATATATATATATATATATATATATATATATATTAAGGATAAATTATAAAAAAAAACAATAGATTTTCAAAATTGTTTCACCTATAGAAAGCTACATTATCAGTAACTAACATAGATAACATTTTATTATTTTAAACCGTGCGAAAGCGTGGCTGGTTGCTATTTAGATATCATATTTCATATTTATTTAATTTTTCATATTTCCATAATGTTACAATGGATGTTTACTGACATGTTAAATTATATAGATAGAGCGTCTCCATACAAATGTTTCCAAAAAATCGGGTCAACTTTTTCATAACAATTTTGCATGATAAATAGTTCAGAGTGTTACCTTTTAACTTCTATATTTATTTAATATTTTTGTTATCTTTTTAATACGTAAAAACTCAATTTATTTATTAAATAATTAAATATATATACGTCAAGATACATTGTGTGCGTGAGTACAATATAAAGAACACAAAAAAACAAGTCAGCTAATTTGACAATTAGCTGACGAAAATTTGATCCGTTTTTGAGACTCGATGCTTTAACTATATAATCTAAGGCTGACTTAATATTATTATGGTAAGCATTATAGAGGATCCATAATGCTATGATAGGTGGGATGGGTACAGTTGTAAATAATATTTCATATAAAATAAAATGTAAAATAATATTTTAGACATCTCTTCTTTAAATAATTACAATATTTCTGTACAAATAATATATCCACTGCTGAACACATTCCTCTATTGATGGTTTTTGCCAGTAGTTGCCACGTTTGGCAGGCGGGATAAAATAAATTAAATAAATTACTAAGAGTTATTGTGCACTGCGAATTTTTCCCCATACTATCATTTTTTTCGCGCCTTTTTTTTACTTATTAATGAATCAATACTTAATTTCAATTCTGTTTTTTTTTTCTGGATTGTTTATAACTTCAATTCAATTTTTACATACGTAATACGTGATAAAATTCGCAGTATGCAACAACTTTAAAAATAGAACAATCTTTTTTTTTTTAGAAAATTATGAAGCGAAGATCATTGTTTAGATTCAGCCAGTCTCTTGCGTAAATTACTGTTTATAATGGCCGCTAAATTTGCAGTATTTATAACATATTTATTGTTTTCCTTTATTTTTTTATCGTTGCCAGAATTGGGTATTCTTTTTAGCATATTATTATTGGCGTCAGCTGCCAGCATTAATCTCTGTATGGCCGACTGTTTCAATATTTCTGCCAGGTACATTTTTTTATCGTTCATCACTGCCGTGTTGGTAGGCGTTTTGCGGAGCGCAGAGACAATGGAGTTAATTTTTTCTGACGATAATGGCGTATGTTTGAACGAAGATATACTAATTTCTGTGTTTCTCGGCGCATATTCAGATCTTGGCAGTAATACCTGTGCTAGGATTGCCTAAAAAAAAACAAATTAAAAATTTAAAAAAAGAAATATTTTTTATTATTATACATATTATATCAACTCTTGACTGTCCACTGCTGAACATAGGTGACATAAGGAGGGTTTTGCTAGTAGTTGCCACGCTTGGCAAGCAAGTTAACAATTGCAGTTAGATTTTAGTGATGTTTTAAGAGGGACGCTGCTACTAATCACTTGACCATTAAATTCCCTTAGTCGCCTTTTATGACAGCCATATGAAAGAAGGAAATACATATTTATCTAAATAGTATTTACACTCAAAGTTTCATTTTTGGAAGTTATTTATGAAATTAGAAAGATGTTATTTGTTGTTTTTTTTTTCAGTTTACCATATAGGCAGGTAAAGGTAATTAAGCCATACAGTCAATTCTTTAAATTCGAAATGTTTTAATTCAACCACAGATAAAGAATGTATTTTTAATCTATGGTTGAACTATGGCAGTAACACTGTCGTAAAAAAATATATTATTTTTTTTAATTTAGGGTTTAAATTTAGAATTAATAGTTTATAATACTTTAAATAAAAAATATATTTAAAGATATACTTACATGAATTAACAAGAGTTGTATTGTAAAAGACAATGGTCGAAACATTTTGTTGGTTTAATTAATATGTTCAAATAATATTTTCTTCGACAATTCACTTATTTAAATATCAATTTCTTATCTGTAATTCACTATCAAGATGTCATATCAGTAATTACATAATCAAATCTTTTGAAACTATATTTCTTATTATCTTAGATAAGTAATTATTAATATTAGAAGTGATAAGGCCGCATTTTGTATCACTTCTCATTAAAATTAACTGTATTTATTATTTTATAAATGGTGCAATCAAATTGTTTTTTTTTAACCACGACATAAAAGTATACAGCCTAATAAGATATCTTAGTCCTCAAAAAATAAAACGCATTAGTGGAGTGGTAATGGACGTCACAGCGTGTTCCGTTATGTTTATTGCACTTTTCATATGTGCATTTTTTTATGATACTTACAATGGCAAACAAGCTGATGGCCCACCTGATGTAAAATGGTAACCGTCGCCTATAGATATGAGTAGTACCATGGACATAACAGAGTATACTGTTTCACCCATGATACCCCCCATGCGTTGCCATTCCTGAGGACTCAAATGTTATTCCTCTGTACCCAGTAAATTCACTGCCATATCCCACCCTTCAAACCGAAACACAGCCATACAAACACAACTGCTTCACGGTAAAAATACGTAGTAGAAATTCGATTGCATTCTTGAGATATTTACAAAACGCAAAAAATCTTCAATACGTAAGCACGCATGCACGCATTCACGCACCCACGAACGCACGCACGCACGCACGCACTCACGCATCCACACCCACACGCACATACATACACAAACACACATTGCTACACAAGTTTTCTTCTAATTCACATAGGAGCCACAGACAGCCCTCTATTTCGAGGCTGTTTTGATGCTGAAGAAACGGCTGCTCATGTAATGCTGGAAAATGAAGCTGTGGCCCCTCAACGTTTAGCCTCAGAGCCGTAAGATCGCTCCGTAAGGTCTGTGAAGATCCCAGGAAGGTTCTGTGCTTCTGAGCGGAACTGGGTTGGCTGTACTAGCCACAACTCATACGCACAGCGGCCCAAATGAGAGGCTAAACGCGGAAAAGAGAGTCCAATTTATATTACACTACATTACAACTAAATAAATTAAATTAAAATAAATAAATTAAACACTTTACCAGAGGGAGACTTTGTACAAAAGTTGCTTGCTTAGGTATCTCTGTCCCATTCGTGTTTCAACCGTGAAGCAGCTGTGTTTGCATGGCTGTGTTTCGGTTTGAAGGGTGGGATATGGCGTGAATTTATTGGGTACAGAGGAATACAATTGAGTTCTGAGAATTGGCAACGCATGGGGGGTATCATGGGCGAAACAGTATACTCTGTTATGGCCATGGTACTGCTCATGTCTATAGGCGACGGTTACCACTTTCCATCAGGTGGACCGTCAGCTTGTTTGCCATTCTAAGTTGTATAAAAAAAAAACTTCCAATAAAACTACAATTAAATAAGTAATAACTTTATTATATAAAAGGTGGTGGTATTGATTTGTTGTAAGCAATACCTAAGTTACGACGAAGTGACTCAGGCAACGATAACGAATTTTCCAATAGCAACAACGGATTTTCTAAATCCCGTAATTTACTTGCCAGTGGCAATAACGGATTTTCCAGTGGCGGCAACGGACTTGCCAATGGCGGTAACAGGTCTGCTACTAGCGGTAACGGATTTTCTAGTGGAGGCAACGGAGCTGTCACTGCCGGTGCCGGACATGGTAATACTGGTAACGGAGTTACCGGGAGTGGCAATGGAGTTTCCATTATCGGTGCCGGACATGGTAATACTGGTAACGGAGTTACCGGAAGTGGCAATGGAGTTGCCGCTATCGGTGCCGGGCTTGGTAATATTGGTAATGGGGTCATCGGTGGCGGTAACGGACTTGGAATTACCGGTACTGGACTTGGTAACGCTGGTAAGGGAGTTACCGGAAGCGGCAATGGTGTTGCCATTATCGGTGCCGGACTTGGTAATACTGGTAATGGGGCCATTGGTGGCGGTAAAGGGCTTGGCATAACAGCTACCGGACTTGGCAATGCTGGTAATGGAGTTACCGAGAGTGGCATTGGAGATGTCACTATCGGTGCCGGACTTAAAAATACTGGTAAAGGGGCCATTGGTGGTGGTAAAGGGCTTGGCATTACTGGTACCGGACTTGGTAACGCTGGTAACGGAGTTACCGGGAGTGGCAATGGAGTTGCCACTATCGGTGCCGGACTTGGTAATACTGGTAATGGGGCCAATGGTGGCGGTAAAGGGCTTGGCATTACTGGTACCGGACTTGGAAACGCTGGTAACGGAGTTACCGGGAGTGGCAATGGAGTTGCCACTATCGGTGCCGGACTTGGTAATACTGGTAATGGGGTCGCCGGCGGCGGTAACGGGCTTGCCAATGGCGGTAGTGGAGACATTATCGGTGTAGCTTTAAGAGCCGCAGTTTCAAACGGAGTGGAGTAATAACATTTGACGCCTGGTATGTTGCACTCGTACGGGGGTACCTGGGACGTTACTGTCTGTAAAGGAAATAAAAAGGTGTATATACTAGAGCTGGGCAATATATAGCAATATCTATATATTTTAGTTGCAATAGATATTGCAACTATATACTGGTTCAATAACAAATAAATTATATGGGATACTTTTAATATATTCGAAAATAGATACCCGACCGATCTAGATGTTATCGATATGGGGTTTATCCACAGGAACCCAATATATAGATATCGGATCGATATTCAATATTGCCCATGCCTATTATTATTATTTCAGCCGTTAACTGTCCACTGCTGGACATAAGCTTTCCCCATAAGAGGAATTTTGCCAGTAGTTGCCACGCTAGATGCCATGTCCATGCCTAACATAGAATATAATAACATATTCAATTGGAAATTTCAATATTTCATAACATTACATCGTAATAAGTTAAAAATCAATATAATTAAGTAATTACTTTGCTTCTAATGCATAATTTTTAATGCAATCGTCACGTTTCATTTGATCTTGAACTTGACAGAGTATTTTTGCTTAAATAAACAATTTTATATTATATTTTGTTTTAGGTAGAACAAGTTATAACTAAGTTATGTGTGTGGCTGCTGGCTGTGTTTCGGTTTGTAGGGTGGGATATGGCGTGAATTTACAGGGTACAGAGGAATAATATCTGAGTCTTCAGGAATGGCAACGCATGGAAGGTATCATGGGCGAAACAGTACACTCTGTTATGTCCATGGTACTGCTCATGTCTATAGGCGACAGTTACCACTTTCCATCAAGTGGGCCGCCTATACTCATACGCACTGCCTATACTACAAAGAAATTAGGGAGAAGATAATCTTTTGCTAACATTATAAATTAAAAATTGAGTTTTTCTATGAGTTTCATGGTGGGCAACGCGCACGTGACACTCCTGATATTGCAGGCTTCCATAGACTACAGTGATCGTTTACCATCAGACCGGCTGTATGCTTGTTTGCTGGCAAACAATAATATTTTTGCTTGGGCACTTCTATCTCATGTGTTTCTACCGTGAAGCAGTTGTGTTTGGACGGCTGTGTTTCGGTTTAAAGGGTGGGATATGGCAGCGAATTTACAGAGTACAGAGGAATAACACCCGTGTCCTCAGGAATGGAAACGTATAGGGGTATCATGGGCGTAACAGTATACTCTGTTATGTCCATGGTACTGCTCATGTCTATAGGCGACGGTTACCACTTTCCATCAAGTGGGCCGTCAGATTGTTCGCCATTCTAAGTTGCATAAAAAAACAACATCCCGCGAGTAACAGCTATTCGTGAATGAAAATAAAAACTCACCTGAGCGGAAATAAAATGTATTATTATTAATACATAAATTTTGGACTTCATTTTGTAGAAACTAGACCACAGTGTGTCGAAGTACGTGGCGTGGTCTATTTGAAGATTTTCGATATCGCGTTTGCATAATTTATTGTGTTGTCGACTCGTTTAAGTTACACATTGGGCCGGTTGTGTACTGTTATGGAAAAAATAATGTAATTTTTTTATCACAAAAGTAAAGCGTTTTACATAACAATAAGTTTTGTAAGGTCAAAATTATTGTAATACTTTGTAGCATACTTATAAAATTATATATTTTATTTATTTTGTAAAAACACGCAGACAAGCGTAAATATTTTATATATATATGTAATACGGTCGGTCGCGCACGCAGCTGGTTTGATGTACCTATGCGCGCGCAGGACGCGCAGGCGCTCGGCGACTACGGGTTGCGCGCGCACCGCGCATGCGTATATCAAAAGGAATGTTGTTGTTGGCGCCACGGCACACATATCGTCTTAATATTATACCTTTTTTATATTTTCTATTGTTCTCCTTCTTTACTATTATATTACTATTATTACTGTATTAATAAACGTTTACATTATACATTCTACAAATATCATTCTCTCTTAATATCATTTCGCTTTACTGGTGACCTCAAACTGTTCACGATTATCAAGATGACCGTGGAGCCAGGCGCACAGAACATGGAATCCTGCCGTGTGGGAGTCAGGGTACCTCCATTCTACCCTGAAAAACCTGCTTTGTGGTTCGCACAATTAGAGGGGCAATTTCAACTAGCCACCATTACTGCAGACTCCACGAAGTTTTACTACGCTATAAGCCAATTGGAACCACAATATGCAGCGGAAGTAGAAGATGTCATCACAAACCCACCGATGGCTAACAAATACGACAGACTTAAAACTGAACTTATTAAACGATTGTCAGCATCGAGAGAGAAGAAGGTTAAACAACTCCTCATTCATGAAGAGCTGGTGATCGCAAACCTTCTCAGTTCGTCAGACATCTCCAGAATCTTGCTGGGCCTGGGGTGCCGGAAGGGTTTTACGTACTATATGGACCAGTCGTCTACCAGCAAGTACACAGACAATTATTGCATCACAACCGAAAGCCTCACTAGAAGAACTAGCCGAGTTGGCAGACAGAATACATGACGTTGTACCTCCAATTCTGCAAGTAGCATCCACATCGGTAGCAACATCTTCTGGTATGTGTATTAATCACCTAAACCAGCAAATAGAAGAGCTCACAAAACAAGTCTCCGCTCTCACTACAAGGTTAGACAAAATATCTCGTAATAGCGAACGTCAACCATTTAACCGATTGCGAAAAAGATCACAATCTCGATCAAGATCAGCTTCAAACAATAAGAAGTACCCCAATTGCTGGTACCATGCCAAATTCGGTGATCAAGCTAGAAAATGCATTCAACCCTGCGATTTTTTGGCGAAACGCAACATTCGGTAATGGCGGCCAACGATTGCACTACAAATGGTCGCCTATTTGTAACAGATAAGAAAACGAAGACGCAATTTCTAGTAGACACGGGTAGTGACCTCTGTGTTTTCCCTCGTACTTATCTAAAAGAACGTCGACCAAAATCGGATTATCAATTATGTGCAGCAAACGGCACTACAATTGCAACATATGGTTATGTACATTTAGTATTAAACCTAGGCTTGCGTCGTGACTTCGCTTGGGGATTTGTTGTTGCGGACGTAACAAGGGCGATAATCGGTGTCGATTTTTTGTCATATTTTAATATTGTTGTTGATTGCAGGAACCAACGCTTGATCGATAACAATACAACCCTCGCGACCCCGGCTTCGCCTGCTCAGTCTTGTGATATCATTTCTTCGGTAAAAAGTATCATGGGTGAGTCTATATATCACAGTATACTTAGGGAATATACTGATATTACTCGTCCACATGGTACACACCGCATCCCCAGTCACAACACTGTACACCACATACGTACAACTCCTGGCCCGCCAGTTACATCAACACCACGCAGGTTAGCTCCTGACAAATTAAAAATAGCTAAACAGGAATTTGCTGAAATGCTTATGAATGGTATATGTACACCTTCCGAGTCGTCCTGGTCCTCACCACTCCATCTTGTACCTAAAAAAGATAATGGCTGGCGTCCATGTGGCGACTATAGAATGTTAAACGCACGAACAATACCTGACAAATATCCTATACGTCATATCCAGGACTTTGCCCATAATCTCTCAGGCTGCAAAGTGTTCTCTACCATTGATTTGGTGAAAGCTTACCATCAAATCCCTGTAAACGCCGGGGATATCAAGAAAACCGCGATCACGACGCCGTTCGGTCTTTATGAATTTCCGTTCATGACGTTCGGACTTCGTAATGCCGGACAGACGTTTCAACGTTTTGTGGACGAGATGCTGAGAGGACTTGATTTTACATTCCTTTATTTGGATGACTTCCTAGTCTTCTCGAAAGATGAAGAGGAGCACAAGCACCATCTAAGACAGCTGTTTACTAGACTACGCGAATACGGTATGGTAATTAACACCTCGAAATGTGTATTTGGTGCTACCGAGGTAAAGTTTTTAGGATACCTCATATCTGCTGATGGTACTAAGCCGCTTTCCTCCAAGGTCGAAGCTATACAGAACTTTCCGGTGCCAAAAACAATACGGGAACTAAGGAGATTCTTGGGTATGCTTAATTTTTATAGGAGATTCATTCCTGATGCTGCCCAACACCAAGACCCCTTAAATTCTTTATTAGTAGGCTCGGTAAAAGGCTCTCATCCTGTCACATTCTCTCCAAAGGAACTCGAAGCATTCACGGCCTGTAAGAAGGGACTCTGTGAAGCAGCTCTGTTAGCACACCCAGACTAGAAATCGTTACAGACGCATCTGACACAGCAATAGGTGCAGTGCTACAGCAGTACAAAGAAAATGAAGGATGGCAACCTCTGGCATTCTTTTCTAAAAAATTAAATTCAACCCAACGAAAATATTCTCCATATGATCGGGAGTTGTTGGCGATATACGAAACAATCAAATATTTCAGGCACATGGTAGAAGCACGAAACTTTATTATTTATACAGACCATAAACCCTTATGTTTCGCTTTTCACTCAAGAAAGGAAAATTGCTCTCCAAGACAGTTCAGACACTTAGACTTCATTTCGCAGTTTTCAACAGATATCAGGCACATCTCAGGTAAGAATAACGTAGTAGCTGATACCCTTTCACGCGTAGAAGAAATAGTTCAACCAGTGGACTTAGAGCTGTTAGCGAAAGCACAACAATCCGATCCAGAACTACAGCTGCTACTGAACATTAACACATACAAGAGTACAACCACACCAGATACACACACATCTAGTAATCAATCATCAAGCAATCACACACAAAACAATCATAACACAACACACAATACAAACACTTCTTCCACAAATTCGCCACAACACACTACGACAAACAAAACTGGAAGAAATGATATCCGCAAGACGAGATCAGGTCGTACTGTTCACTTCCCTAAATATTATCGCCCGTGAGACGGTCTCTAGAGGGGGGTGATGTAGCATACTTATAAAATTATATATTTTATTTATTTTGTAAAAACACGCAGACAAGCGTAAATATTTTATATATATATGTAATACGGTCGGTCGCGCACGCAACTTTTTTTATGTTACTATGCGCGCGCAGGACGCGCAGGCGCTCGGCGACTACGGGTTGCGCGCGCAGGCCGCGCATGCGTATATCAAAAGGAATGTTGTTGTTGGCGCCACGGCACACATATCGTCTTAATATTATACCTTTTTTATATTTTCTATTGTTCTCCTTCTTTACTATTATATTACTATTATTACTGTATTAATAAACGTTTACATTATACATTCTACAAATATCATTCTCTCTTAACATCTTTCGCTTTAACTTAACAGAGTGGTGATTTAAATTTTTTGCTATTCCTAGAAACGAACGTGCTAAACGAACGTACAATTATAATAAAGTGTACTGAGAAAATGGTAGTTTTATTTTGTCGAATTAAGGTTATATTTTTTTTTTTATATACCACTGAAGTGGCAATCAAGCATACAGCCAACCTTTTTTTATACAACTTAGAATGGCAAACAAGTTGACGGCCCACCTGATGGAAAGTGGTAACCGTCGCCTATAGACATGAGCAGACATGGACATAACAGAGTATACTGTTTCGCCCATGATACCCCCCATGCGTTGCCATTCCTGAGGACTCAGGTGTTATTCCGCTGTACCCAGTATAGTAAGCGGTTACCAGAACTCATAAACGCCAACAATACCAGGGGTATTACGCGCGCGTTACCGACCCTGAAGAAACCTCTTTACTCCCCTTTTGAAGAACTCCATGCTGTAGTCTCTTGGAAAAACCTCGGCAGCGAGTTTTTTGCATAACCTGAACGTTTGTGAGAGGAAACATCTCTGAAATAGTGTTGTACGTAATCATCTTGGCTCTAGGGTATGAGGGTGAACTCCTTGTCGATATTTATAACTAAATATCATCATCATCATTATGATTCACCATTGCACCGCTCACTATCAGCAGGGAATCTGTTCTCACATCTTAGAACCAAAATGCCCACGCACAGAAGTAGTTTCAGAGGAACTTCCTCCCACGAACAATCAGATTGTGGAATGATCTTCCTACAGAGGCTTCCCCTACAGTCTACAGTATAGGGTTCTTCAAACAGAGCGTATTAAAGTGTCTTTAGGGTCGACAATGCGCGCATGACATTCCTGGTATTACAGGCGTCCATATGCTATGGTAACCCCCTTTACCATCAGACGGATCGTATACTGGTTTGCCATTAAGGTAGTATAAAAAATTCATATCCACTGTCTGTCCACGGACTGTCCACTGCTGAATATAGGCCACGGGGAAGGGGGGAGGGAAGGAATTGTTAGCAATGGAGTTTGACAGTCCCATTGCTAGCAATATGCCCTATCAGGTCGACCTCCGCGTGGTTCCCCCTGGAAACCATTGTGAACTATTGTTGATTTCATCACGATGGGCTAACTGACCTGCTTCATCCTCACCTATCATCCTTCACTGGTGCCCTGCCTAAATATAGGCCAGGCCCATAAGGGGAGATTTTCAAGAAGTTTCCACGCTGGCAGACTAGTTGACAACCGTAGTTAGGCTTTGGTGATGTTTGAAGAGGGACGCTGCTGCCTATCCCTCGACTATTAAGTTTACTTAGCTGCCTCTTACGACACCCACGAGATAGCAAGGAGTGGCCCATTCCATGCCGGTCCCACACAGTATATATTGTAACATAATACATTGTAATATAACTACCAAACTTATCCCGGCTTCGCGCAGTCTTCTTTTTAATACAATATAGCCCATGTTACTCGCTGATAAAGTAGCTTTCTATACGTGAAAGAACTTTTAAAATCGGTTAAACGTTATTTGTGTTTATGAATTTCATTCATTTAGAGAAAGCAACATTGTCACCAAGTAATATTAGCGGTATTTTATTTTCAAAAAACCGTGCGAAATCGGAGCGAAATTGTTATTAAGTAATCGAACTAGGAATTATAATAATATCATAGTTTTTTATTTATTTATCTATTTATTTTTTTGGAAAATGTACAGCTGAATTACAGTCAATACATAATCAAATTTATATCTATGTTAAGCCATGAATCGTATTAACATTTGCGTGATGACACAATTGAACGGTTTTTATATATGCAAAATACATATATACACACACACACACATACATATATATATATACATACATACACACACACTTTATGCAACTATAAATGATAAAGAAGCTGACGGCTCACCTGATGACAAATAGTAACTGTCGCCTATAGACATGAATAGTACCATGGACATATAAAAGTATGCTGCTTCGCCCATGATACCCTTCATGCGTTGTCTTTCCTGAGGACTAAAGTGTTATTCCTCTGTACCCAGTAAATTCACTGCCATATCCCACCCTTCAAATCGAAACACAGCCATGCAAACACAACTGCTTCACGGTTAAAACACGAATGGTACAGAAGTACCCAAGCAAACGACTTTTGTACAAAGTCAGGTACAACATAAATATTTTAGCCATTAACTGTCCACTATTGAACATAGGCCTCGCCCATAGACGTTAGAGTGTTTTGCCAGTATTTACCACACCTGGGAGGCGCGGTGATTTGGCAACCGCAGTTGAAAAAGCTCTCAGAATTCTCCAAAAACAAAGGTACAGTGAAATTTTTACCACAATTATGGCCCAAAATAAAATATTATATCAATAATAAAAAATGAAAATGTATTTATTCTTAAAGTATGTGTATAAGTATAAAGTTTATCATTGTTTCCTAGACTAGGCTGAGTCTGTCCTGTAGGAAGCAGGATTCGTTTTACAATATAAATTCTAGTAGTACATATAACAAATATTAGGTGTCTATTTAGTAAAAAAATAAAATAGGTTAATACACACACACACACACACACACACACACACACACACACACACACACACACACACACACATATATATATATATATATATATATATATATATATATATATAATTTGGATATATTTATTTTATTTGTATTCTATTTACCTTGTGTATCTTTTTTCCTGTACCTTTCTTACACTAAATTACCCGCTAATCATTTTCTTATTACACTGATTTGGCTGTAAGAGATCTCTTTCAGAGATAAGCCCACCCTTGCTCACAAGTTGTTAAACTAATCGCTGTATTTTTTTTGAAAGTGCAATAGTGAATATTTTTTTTTTATTATGTATATGTTTATATTAGTCCCGTTATATGTTTATAATATATAAATATATCAAGTGTTGCTTTATATTTCCTCTATTCAATAATGCACCGCCTACGTATTTCTCGGTTTGTCCAATGGTTGACTGGTAGAGAACACCGTCCGGTGTTAAGTCCGCCAAATTGTAGATAAAATTTTATTGTGCATTAAAATTTAATTATAAATAAATATAATAAATAAAGATATCAATATTAACATAACGATGTTTTATATTATTAAACGAAGCCAAGCCGCGAGTTATAACCGATATTGTTTGATTATTTGTAGGTATTCAAACAATTTCATTACTTTTTAATTGAACTTGTTTGCTAAAAGAATTACAGCTGAGTTTTCTTGTCCATTTTTCTCAATTGAAATTACATTAAAAATTATGTTTACTTAAACAAAATGTTATTTCAAAACAGAGTTTTTATTCAATTAGACTTAATTATAATTTTTATTGTTAAAAGTTTCATAAGAACAACCGGTTTTACTTACGTGTATTTTAGTCGAAATACAACTAGGTTCGAGACCATCCGGGACCCTTAGTCATGAGCGACTGTGATGCGAGCGTATAAATATTTATAAATGTTTGTACTAACCAATACGGAATACAATTACAACTAGGATTGAGAAATTTATTACATTGTTTTATTTTATTACTTTTTTAAAGAAAAACCAACAGCTCAAAAAAGTTCATAATAAAAAAACAGCAAACATAAAAAGACAATTACATGTTTTCAAAAATAAATACAAGATTTAACTAAATGCATACGACATCGCTAATAATTGCAATCAACTAAATTAAACTTAGAGTAACAACAATATAGTTGTTGCGAACTCCTTAGTTATTTTTAAAGGTTTTTATTTTTATTGTATTTTTATACTTTTATTTTTACAATTGTCACTTTTGCTCTTTACTGTCGTAGTCTATTTTTCATAGTTTTCTGTATTATAGTTATTTTCCTTTTAAACCCATTGTTTAATTACATCATATACATCAATATACAGTCCATAATATCGCCCACAATAGCAGTACAATTATATATTTTTGAGCTGGTTTTATTTTTTAAAAATAATTTAAATAAATATAACAATTTAAAAAATAATAGCACCACAAAATCATTTCAAAACCACATAGAACGACATTATTCACTAAAAGTGTCTCAGGGATGGCACCTAGAATATATAATAACTTACCTAAATCCCTCACAGATATAGATGACATAAAAAAATTTAAAACTAAACTATATGAATACCTAATAAACAGAACATACTATTCAATTGACGATTTCCTTGAAGATAAATGTAATAAATTTCCATAATATTATAATTTTTTTACTATGTATAAATGTGACCTTGTTGATTTTTTTATATAATTTGTTTTTTCTTATATAATTGCGAATTTGTATACCTCGATTTAGGGGTTGATCACAGAGGACTTATCTTGTTTTACCATCTATTGTTACCTATTATATATTGTATCACAATTTAAATAAATAAATAAACAAACATTATATGTATCCATGCAAAATAAAACGTTGAAATCACAAAAAGATTGATTGATTAATAATCAATCAATCAACATATCAGAAAACAAAAACAATAAAAAACAAAATATACAAAAAAAAAACAACTATTTTATTCACTTAAATACAAGGAGGTAGTATTGGAATTTTCTTCAAATAGTGACTTCTGCAGTTACAAGGGCACGCTGCTGGCAATAACGGAGATAACGTCGGTGCCAAAGCGGAAACAGGCGACGCCGCTGGCAAAAACGGGCTCGCCAGACCGACTGGCATGGCTAATTCTGTATATGCCAAATCGCATAACGGTGGCTGCATGACTGGCAGTGGTGGGAGAAAGAGTTGGTCACACGATGACATTGGTATACCAAATTGGCATATAACCTGAAATCAATTATATATATATTTAATTATATACTAATATTATTTGTTTGGCCATGAGGTACCGACATAGAATATTCCACCCTTTTCTTTCTCGTGGATGTAGTAAGAGACGACTAAGGGAGCTTAATAGTCCAGGGATGGGCAGTAGAGTCTCTCTTAAAACATTATTAGAACCTAATTACGGTTGACCACCCGCTTGCCAAGCATGACAATTGCTGGCAAAATCCCTCTCATGAGAGTCGGAGATTGATGGCTAATATGGAAGGTTGTGGAACTTCTGCTAGTAATAGTGGTGGTCAATCTTCGAGTGTTGGCAGTCGCACACATACTGATGGTAGCGGAATTAAACAAAATAATTCTAATTAAATAACCATAAATATAGATGTATATAAACTAATCTAATTGTAGGATATTTTATTTATTTATCCTCTGAAACTTCTAGTAGTAGCAATAGTACATACATACATACATACATATCTGTGACGCCTGTCTCCCTAATGGGTAGGCAGAAACAATGGAACGCCAAATGCAAATTCAAACAAACCTCCTTCGCTTCTTCCACATTCATCAATCTTTTTATACACACACATACATAGTAGCAGTAGTTTTTCTATATAACTTACAATGGTAAAGAAGTTAATCTACTAAACCCGACGGAAAGTATTAACAGTCGCCTAAAGACATGAAAAGCACCATGATATCGCTTAAATATTGCCATTCCTGAGGACTATATCGTTATACCTCTGTACCCTGTATTTTAACTGCTGTATCCCACTCTTTAAACCAAAACAAAATAAACACCAGAGGAAGACTTTGTACAAAAGTCGTTTGCTTGGGTACTTCTGTCTCATTCATGTTTCTACCGTGAAGCAGTTGTGATTGCATGGTTGTGTTTAGTTTTGAAGAGTGAGATATGATAGTGAATTTACAGGGTACAGAGGAATAACATCTGAATCCCCGGGAAAGGCAACACATGGGGAGTATCATGGGTGAAACAGTATACTCTGTTATGTCCAAGGTACTGCTCATGTCTATAGGCGACGGTTACTATTTTCCATCAGGTGGGCCGTCAGCTTGTTTGCCATTCTAAATTGCATAAAAAAAGTTCTAGATTAATGTTAAAAAAGAAACTTACACTGTTATACAGAGTAAATACGAGAATCAGTCGCGCCAACATGTCTGCAATTGGATTCCAATAGATTGGCACGGTCATTATATGCCATTGACTTTATGTACTTTATTTCTTTGTATTATCATTATGTTGAATAACTTATTGCTACAAGTAAAAAATATATATTTACAGTTGCAATATGAAATTGCAACCGTAAATATATTTTGTAATTTTTTAGGAAATTGCATGCGCTATGTCGATTATGTATTACAAACAGGGAACTGTTTTGTACGTCAACTTTATAACTAGTTTATATTATTTGTAATTGATGATGATGATGATGATGATATCAAAAGTCCACTGTAGAACATAGGCCTTCCATAAGGGGAGTTTTGCCAGTAGTTGCCACGATTGGCAATCAATCGAAGTGAGATTTTGGTGATGATTTATCAGGGACGTGCTGCCAATGCCTCCACTATTAAGTTCCCTTAGTCGCGTGTCACAAACACCAAGGGGAAAAGAAGTGGTGGACTATTCTATGGTGGGAACGTACAGCTATTTTTATTCATTCTTATTAATTTCTTCCTTTCCCATGGGTGTCGTAAAAGACGACTAAAGAACTTAATGATCAAGGTATGGGCAACAGCTTCCCTTGCTTCAAACATCACCAAAAGACTAACTGCGGTAAGCCTGACTACGGTTGCCAACCCGCCTGTTAAGCGTGGCAACTACTGGCAAACCCCCCTTATGGGGAAGGCCTATGTTCAGCAGTGGACAGTTACCAGCTAATATGATGATGATGATGAGTCCTTATTAATATTACAAATACGAAATTGTATTTGTTTATTACTTCTTAGAGCCTTAACAGCTTGACCTACCACTAAAAAAATTTGATATGCACGTTCTATATGGGATGGAGAAGGACATATGTTTTATCCCGGTGAGTGAACATATCCCGGTCACGCGGACAAAGTCGCAAGTAAAAGCTAATAATTTATACATTAACCACTCCTAACATAAGGCTTATAACAATGGGGAAAGGGATTGTTAGCAATGGAGTTTGACAGTCCCATTGCTAGTAATATGCCCTATCAGGTTTCCTCCTGGAAACTATCGTGACTGATTTATCGTTGAATTCGTCACGATGGGCTAATTGACTTGCTTTTTCATCCTTACCTATCACCTCTCACTGGTGCCCCGTCACTGTATACCGTTAGCGCAGGCGGGGTTACCATGCCATTTTTACCCATTAAAAAAAAGCCTCATAACAGGGGGATTGTTAGTAATGTGGTCAAATAGCCCCATTATTAGCAATATACCCTATCAGGTCGACTTCCACGTGGTTCCCTCTGGAAACCATAGTGAACAATTCTCGTTGAATTCGTCACGATTGGCTAACTGACCTGTTTCATCCTCATCTATCATCCTTCACTGGTGCCCCTCCGGTGTATACCGATCCCTCTTAGCATCCCTCTTAAAACATCTTTAAAACATAAGCCCCAATATTCTCATCTTCAGTTCAGCTCCATTACCAAATATAGCAAAGATAATCAAGTACCCAAGGCATATGGGCAATAAGCATTCTTGCATACATCCATTGCTTCATCCAATTTCAATCATTAATGATCCGAAATCTGATAGCTTAATCCAAAAATTACGCTTTTAAAGAATTTGGTGTCTATGTTATCAACCAAATTCTTCCTAGTCAACATGGGGGAAACAGAATAGTCCGTTTAACAGTTCCATTGCTAGAAATATACTGGTGAGAGTGTATGAAAAGATTGATGAATGTAGAGGAAGCGAGGATCTGTTTGAATCGAAGTACTTGGCGTTCCATTGTTTCTGCCTACCCTAATGGGATACAGGCGTGGCAGATATATGTATCCCCTTGGCAGTTAGCTACCACTATGCAGATCCCTCCGGAAACCGAAATATTTAATTCTTGTCGGATTCGTCATGATTAGTAGTTAACCTGCTTTCATTCTCATCTATCACCCCTAACTGGTACTTCAGCAGCATATCATCATCATCTTCCTACCCTTGTCCCACTTATTATTTGGGGTCGGTGTAATCTGTTTTTATCCATATTACAAAAAGATTGGACTCATAGTTTTATAACCGGCTGTCTGCCTGATATCAACCCTCTTTGGGAATGCATTTATTGGTGGTACCCGCCACCTACGGTATGAAGGAAAGGATTGAGGAAAAAAGGGAGGGAACGTTGGAAATGCATAAAGGAAGTTGGTAAATGAAAGGAATAAGGGACTTATGCGGAAAAAGAAAGGGCAAATGCAAGGGATTGCAGCTGCTCGGGAGGCCGGGGTTGCATACCCGTATGCCCTTATTCTAGAATCGTACAGAAAATCTAGAGAAGAACGCCCTTGACAGTACTTCAGCAGCATATACCGTTGTTATTTATTTATATTTCATTTAGCGTATACCGTTAGCGCAGGCGAGGGTGCCATTCCGTTCACCTATTAAAAATAAGACTACTCAACCTTTGATGATCTTTTTTTTATACAACTTAAAATGGCAAACAAGTTGACAGCCCACCTGATGAAAAGTGGTAACCGTCGCCTATAGACATGAGCAGTACCATGGACATAACAGAGTATACTGTTTCGCCCATGATACCCCCCATGCGTTGCCATTCCTGAGGACTCAGGTGTTATTCCTCTGTACCTAGTAAATTCACGCCATATCCCACCCTTCAAACCGAAACACAGTCATGCAAACAACTGCTTCACGGTTGAAACACGAATAGGACAGAGGTGCCCAAGCAATCGACTTTCGAACAAAGTCTCCCTCTGGTAAATTTAATCTTTTATTTTAAGGATTTATATTACTGAGATAAGATTATTTTAGTTATTTATTCATTATTTACAACACAGAGGGCAAACAAGCATGCGGCTCACCTGATGGTTAGTGAGTACCGCCGCCCAAAATCACCCACAACACCAACGGCATTGCAAGTGTGCTGCTGGCCTTTTAGAAAGAAATAAGCTCTTTTCTTGAACGTTATGATGTCGTATCGGTTCAGAAATACTGTTGCTGGCAAGTTGGTTCCAAAGAGTGGTTGTGCATGGAAGAAAGTGCCTTGAAAAACACACGGTGGAGGACCGCCACTCGTCCAGATAGTTGGGATGAAACTTTAGTTTATGGCGGGTTGTACGGTGGTGAAAATCAGCAGCAGGTATCAGCATCAGCAACTAATCCTCGGAACACTCCCCATGATAAATTTATGTGTACAAGGCAGACTTAATGCTAAAAGCATTCCCTCCCAGTTAACCATAGGGAAGTGTCAGAATACTCGAATGCGGTACTAGTAATAATTCATATGCACATATCGGTCTTTATCTGTACACTGCTGAACATAAGCCTTCCCCTTGAGGGGATTTTGCCAGTAATTGCCCCGCTTAGAAGGCGGTTTGGCAACCGCAGTTAGGTTTTGGAGATGTTTTAAGAGGGGCGCTGCTGCCTATCCCACGCTCTCCCTTACTCGCCTTTACGACACCCACGGGAAAGTAAGGGGTCACCCGTTACTTACCTGTAAATTTACATATATAAACATACATAAATAAGATATATACTATATTATATACGAAAATGAGAATAATATATAGCATTTACTGCTCGAATAAAGCATAAAAATAAACATAAATGTTTTTTTTCTAAAAAGTTCTATAAAATTCTTAAATAAAAAAAAAGTAATTAAATATAAATATTACTTTATTACAATATTTGTTATACAAATAATAATAAACTACAAGGAGGGAGGTGGAATAGGTATTTTTCTTAAGAAGTGACTTCGCACTTGGGTTGGATTAATTGGTGGTAACATGTTTGACGTTGGCGGCGCTAACGCCGACACAGGACTTGCTGCCGGCAAGAAAGGATTCACCAGCGGCGCAGGGGAGGGGCACGAACACGGCGACGGGAATGCGTAAGGGTATACCTTATTTTGTACCATTTGCACCGGATAAGGTACAGCTGGCATGGAATAAACTTCTTGCATTGGCGACAAACATGGCGCGACTGGCATTGGCATGGCTACTTCTTGTATAATCGGTTGGCCAATAACTTGTTGGGGGACGTGTACTCTCTTTGCTTCGGTCAACGACCTAACTGGCAACTGGCGGGCTGCTTTTGGCATGACCACTTCTGGCGTTCCAATTGCCGCCATTTGTAATATATCCATCGCATTGCTGCTGCTTGTCGGGGACAATATACTTCGGAGTAGGGATGCTATCTGATTCGGTTTCCCTTTTCTCACAGCTGTCAGTCCCAATTGCGTTATTGATGCAATTGTTAATAGTAAATATATCATTCTATTCTTTGCCATATTAAACTGGAAGAAAAATACGTTTAAATATAAAATCCATTGTTTTCTCATTGTGATTATTTCTTGTAATTATTTATATTTATAATAAGTTTACTTTTGTAATCTTTTGGAGGAAACAATAAAGAGTATCTATCTATCTATTCATTAACCGACTTCTGAAAAAGGATGAGGTCGTCGATTCGATTATATTTATGTTTGCTACCACAGATCTATGTCATTTATAAACAGATTTGTTTTTTTTTAAACTGAAAGGGTACTTTCAGATTAGTCCCATAGGAATGTTATCAAAATCGATTTAGTGGTTTGGTTTAAAATCAATATAACCGGTTTTACCACGTTTAAATTTGATGATTTTTTTTGTAGAACCAAATTTACTTAATAGCTAAATAATGTTACTTATTTACAACTACAAGTATTTATGACTCAACATAATTAATATATTAATATAATTTAGCCAAGTTATATTTATGTAACACAGCCATGTTTAAGCATACAGCTTAACACGTCATCAATGAAATTGTAACAATATGTAAGTCTGTATTTAACACATTAGGGTAGAACAAAGAAAAACTGAAAAAATCTTACGTTTTTTTTTGTAATGGTTTTTTTTTTTAAATAATAAGTTTCAATATAAAATATTCCCGCATATACCCGGTATAGAATAGGCCACCCCTTCCTTTCCCGTAGGTGTCGTAAGAGGCGACTAGGGAAGAGCGAGGGATGGACAGCAGTGTCCCTCTTAAAACGTATCCAAAGCCTAACTGCAGTTGCCAATCCGCCTGCCAAGCATGGCAACTACTTGCAAAACTCTCTTAGGGGCAGGATTATGTTCAGCAGTGGACAGTTGGGGGCTGACATGATGATGATGATGATATATATAAAATAATTGTTTAAAAACGAGATTTTTTATTAGTTCAGGCGAACTGAACTATTGTTGAATTAAATAAAAAAATGAAAACTGTAGAATAACTTATGTACTATTAGAACTACACTCATGATATGTATGTTTTTTGAGTTACAATAAACATACATTATGTTTATTGAATAATAAATAAATAAAAGAAAATAAATTAAATAAAAGAAATATTACTAATTTTTTTTATGCAACTTAGAATAGCAAACAAACTGACGGTCCACCTGATGGAAAGTGGTAACCGTCGCCTATAGACATGAGCAGCGCCATGGACATAACAGAGTATACTGTTTCTCCCATGATACCCCCCATGAGTTGCCATTCCTGAGGACTCAGGTGTTATTCCTCTGTACCCTGTAAGTTTACTGCCATATCCCACCCTTCAAACCGAAACATAGCCATGCAAACACAACTGCTTCACGGTAGAAACACGAATGGGACAGAGGTGCGCAAGCAAACGACTTTTGTACAAAGTCTCCCTCTGGTAATGATTTTTCATAGTATAACAACGGAGTTCTATATAAACGGTGTTGCTATTATTAATAATAAATAAATTGATAAATAAATACTCACATATTACACATATACACTCTACGAAGTATTAGATACGGTCACAGATAAATAGCTCTTTTTATAAAAGAACATATCGCAATATCTAAATAATATAACTAATTAATCGATAACATCAGTTATTTCACCATTTTATCTGAAAATTGCATAATTTTAAGTTCTGCGTATCTGCAGTTCGCTAAAGAAATGATAAAAGATTAGAAATTTCTTGGGTCGACTGATTAAGAATGCTCTTTTTGTTTTATGCAACTTAGAGCGGCGAACAAGCTGACGGTCCACCTGATGGAAAGTGGTAACCGTCGCCTATAGACATGAGCAGTACCGTGGACATAACAGAGTATACTGTTTCATGTTATTCCTGGGATTCTAAACGATATATTAAAATGGAATGGTAACCCCAACTGCGCTATTGATATACGCTGACGAAGCGTCAATAGGTGAGGATTAAAGTAGAGAAATTATGGTGAATTCTCTGTGAATTAACCACATGACTGTCAAAAGGACTGCGTGCAAGTCTACCTGACAATCTCCTCTCCTCCTACAGCGTGGAGGTGCTAGGATAAACGTACTAAGCCCTATTAGTAACAATTCTGTTGCTCAAAAAAGCATATTATACTATGTTATAAGTTTGGGTGTCAAATGGTTAACACTGGGCTCCGAGCAGCCCGTAATAATATCCCTAAAGATTGTTTTATACTACTATGATGGCAAACAAGCATACAGCCCGTTGGTAAATGGAGTTACCGTAGCCTATGGATGCCTATAATACCAGAGATGTCATGCGCGATTTACCAATCCTTAAGAAACTTTTTGAAGAACCCCATGCTGTAGTCTCTAGGGAAAGCCTCGGCAGGAAGGTCAATCTACAACCTGAGTGTTCGCGACATTACAATTACACAAAGTAATTCTAAGAACCTTTTAGCCGTATAAGTCCCACCCTAGTATTCTAGGCTGGGACTTACTGAACTAGGAATAGGCTTATTGGCCACACCTTCCTTTCCCGTGGGTATTAAGAGCCGACTAAGGGAGCTTATGGTAAAATCGGTAGTTAAAGTTTAAGATTTTGTATCATTTCCGCGTTCATTCTCGACTTCTCAATTATGTAATACACTCGTAATCTGCTATCGACAGGAATCCTTTGCTATCTCAACCTGAATAATCGTGTACGCAGTTTTAAAGGAACTTGCGTCTTCGGACGTTTAAAATATAGAAACAACTCTTTGTTTAGGTTCTTCGAGACTACAGCTTAGAAAAGAAACTATCAGAGGGATGTCTTTAATACCAGAAAGCAATTTTGTATAAATGTCGTCTGCATGGATATCTCTAACTCATCAGTGTTTCTGTTATGAAGCATCTGTATTTGCATGGATGTTTCGATTTGAAAGTTGAAATTTGGCAGTATTTTTTCATTGATACCTTCCATGCGTTGCCATTCCTGAGGACTCAGACGCCCAAGCAAACGACTTTTGTACAAAGTCTCCCTCTGGTACGGTACGAACGCATAACATCGTAGTCCTCAGAAATGGCAACGCAAGAAGAATACAAAAGGCATTGCAGTGTGATGTCTATTACACTATTCATGTCTATAGGCGAAAGTTGCCACATTTCATCCAACGTGCCGTCAGCATTAAAAAGAAAAGTTTTAGTTAAACGGCTCCGATGGCAGCAATATAGCTCGTAAGGCCTTTCTACATGCACCCGCTCATCCCTCCTGAAAACCATGGTGTTTAATTCGTGGTGAATCCTTACCTGACCTGACCACATCCTCACACACATTTCTCACTGGTACCCTGCCAGCATATTCTAGTAAAGCAGGCGAGGTAACAATTCCCAATCGGGATGATCTGAAATCCTTACCTCTTCTTATAAAAGCTTTCTTCAGTCAGCAAACAAAATCCTTCGTATTGTAGGCACATGAGCTTCATGCCATTAGTACATTTGTCAGCTCTTGATCTAATACCCCAATCTCTTACTAATTTAACACTTATTAGACAGATATTAATGTCGTAAGAGGAGATTAAGGGAACTTAATGATCGAAAGATAGGCAGTAGCGTCCCTCTTAAAACACCACCAAAGCCTAATTGCCAAGCGTGGTTGCCATGCTTATCAGGTGGGCAAAACCCCCCCATAGTAGGAGGCCTATGGGGGAGGTTTTGCCCGATTTGGTATGATGAAGATAATGAAGCTGACACCAGCGAAAAAGAGGACAGGGATTGTTAGTAATGGGATCTAACAGCCCCATTGTTAGCAATATACTTTATCAGGTTTTATTTTTGGAATTCGGCACCATAATTTCCAGGAGAGACCGGATAATCCGCAATTCTAACAATCCCTCTCCCCCCCTGCTTTGTCAGGTCGACCTCCACGTGGTGACCTGTGTGTCTAGTCTAAACTAATATTATAAAGAGGAAAGATTTTACTTTCTGTTTGTAATGGATAATCTCAGAATATACTCAACCGATTGAAAAAACTTTTTCACGTATAGAAAGTTACCTGAGTTTTCAGGAATGGTAACGCATGGGGGGTATCATGGACGAAACAGTATACCCTGTTATGTCCATGGTACTGCTCATGTCTATAGGCGACGGTTACCACTTTCCATCAGGTGGGCCGTCAGCTTGTTCGCCATTCTAAGTTGCATAAAAAAAAAGTATGTTGTAACTATTGGAGAAGGCAAGGGATGGGCAGCAGCGTCCCTCTTAAAACATCACCAAAGTCTAACTGCGGTTGCCAATTCGCCTGCCAAGCGTGACAACTACTGGCAAAACTCCCCTTATGGGTGAGGCCTATGTTCAGCAGTGGATAGTTAACGGCTAATGTGATGATCATGACGAACTCACGAAATAGTCAGTGTATTTTTTGTACATTTTCCATTAGATCAAGTTCTTTATCAATATAAGCGATTTATTAAAAAAAAAAAACTTTATTTTTCCTTTATATATAACAATTTATTCAATAATTAACATACCTAATATAAATGTAACCAATTTAAGGTAATATACAATACATATATATGAAATGTATGATGAATAAAAATAAATATAATGGAGCGAATAAATTATTAAATTAACACTGACATACTGAAATAACATAATAAAATAATGTAAATAAACTTAGTATTAAGGACTAAAAATTTACATACTTATGTATATATATATGTAATGGCCGCTCAATTACAAGGATCGGGAAGCATTAGTTTCTCTCGATAAAAAAGACACAGTATCCAAGGACTGGTAGAAATATTTACAGTCAAAGACTGAGAGCTGGTTAATGGATTGGCCTCATAATATATATTAACAAGATTTGAACCTGACATCCAAACAGCAGATTGGATTATTGTTCTATAAGGAACAGATTGCCAATTAGCAGACTAGAAAAAGAAAAAAAATGTATAGCTAAATATGTACTTGTCCTGTTTATATGTAATACCTTGTATTGTTAAATGTTTCGTGAGCACACATTAATTGAAATGTAATAACTACCAGTTTAACTTTGAAAAGATGGAAAAAGCTCGACTAGTTTCGGGACCAAATCGTGACCCTTAATCATAAGCGGCTGTGACGAATTAATTAATTACTTACGTAAATTAAACCGGTACTTATTACATTAAAACACCCTGTATCTTATATATTCAAATGACTGACACGTATATAAATATTTTTTTATATTATATAAATATATAAAATTATTTTAACAATATTGAGTTAGATAGATAGATAGATAAACACTTTTTTTGAGCCATTTATGACACACGTTAATTGGCAAATGAGTTCATACAATCAAATTAATTACACCTTTTTAATATAAAACAAAAAATAAAATATGAAAATATGTTTCCGCCATGTGAGTCGCAGTGCCCCAAATAGGCTACAGCTCAGTGATAGTTTTGCTTAAAAGCAAAGCGCTGATTTTCAGCTACAGCCTGAAGTTAGGCTACACGGACGCGTGCAACGAACCCAGGTGTCCCTGTATGTCTAAATTAATAAATAAAAATAGAATTGTATTATATAGATACATAGATATATAAATAATTAATAAACAATATAATTAATGACAATGAGTTAAAATATTACAAAATATATATTACAAAAATGGCGGCTGTACCACCACCTGTCTTAAATATTTGGCGCAACCCAAAACTGGAGGGAGCGGCGGCAAAGTGCACCCGCAAGTTGACACCCCACATCCGCAAGGTGGCGCTGGTGTTAGCGGAGAGAAGTACACGCCACAGTCGCAATTCGACACCCCACAACCGCATGATGGTGGGGCATAGTAAAACGTAGGATCCGCAGCACAGCCGCAGTTAGGTAAACTGCACCCACATTTAGGTACGCTAAATCCGCAACTAGGTATACCACATCCGCAAGAAGCTAGCTCAACTCCGGCCGGGAAATATCCGTTGCCGCATCCGCAGGAAGGTACCTCGACAGCTGATGAGAAGTAGGTGGGTACTTCGACAATAGGCGGGGAACATCCGCAGTTAGGTATCTTACATCCGCACGCAGGTTCTAGTGGTAATAAAGGTATATCTGGAATATAACCGCAGCTAGGTGCAGCAACTCCATCTAGGAAGGGTATGGGTCTGATGGTATGAGGTGTAGTCAAGATGGCGGCGTTTGTTTGGAGCTAAAAAGTAAAATAATAAAACTCTGTTATGTCCATGGTACTGCTCATGTCTATAGGCGACGGTTACCACTTTCCATCAGGTGGGCCGTCAGCTTGTTTGCCATTTAAAGTTACATAAAAAAAACTTTTTTTTTTAAGATAGAAAGATAAACTAGTTCACGGATCAGCACGAAACACTATCTAGTAGGGATGTGTAATATATAGTTTATAGTAATATATATATACATATATTTTAGTTACAATATCTCACCAGAGGGAGACTTTGTATAAAACTCGTTTGCTTGGACACCTCTGTCCTATTCGTGTTTTAACCGTAAAGCAGTTGTGTTTGCGTGGCTGTGTTTCGGTTTGAAGGGTGGGATATGGTATGAATTTACACGGTACAGAGGAATAACACCTAAGTCCTCAGGAATGGCAACGCATGGGGAGTATCATGGGCGAAACAGTATACTCTGTTATGTCCATGGTACTGCTCATGTCTATAGGCGACGGTTACCACTTTCCATCAGGTGGGCCGTCAGCTTGTTTGCCATTCAAAGTTGTATAAAAAAATAACAATGATTTACTTACATATAAACAAGCGAAGAAGAATATATAAAAATGTGACTCCATTATGTATATTTTTTATCAACTATAGACCTAATTGTCAATTCAGTAGCTTTATATAGGTGACTATCTGATAGATTACAAAAAAATATTGCTTAAAAAATATCTAGGGCTTAAGTAATGTATTGTCAATATAAGATTAGAATTATTACCCAGAAATCCACTATGGAATGCAATTTATTTTATGCAACATTGAATGGCGAACAAGCTGACGGCCCACCTGATGGAAAGTAGATAGATAGATAGATAATTTGTTTACATTACTTACAGTACACAAATTACAATAAAAAAAAACATACACATAATACACAGTAAAAGAGATAAAAGAATGAAAATAAAAAAACAACAAAACAAAAAAAAAAAACAAAATATATAAACTAACAATTTCCTTTCTTTCCTTTCCTTCATGCGTGTGCCATAGTAACACAAAATGGTCACAACTCAGTAACTATCGCCTATAGACATGAGCAGTAACATGGACATAACAGGATACTTATGTTATATTTATTATCTAAAAGTATACTTACAGATTTTTGTCATTTCAGCCGTTAACTGTCCACTGCTGAACATAAGCCTTTCCCATAAGAGTTTTGCCAGTAGTTGCCATCCTTGGCAGGCGGGATGGCAACCGCAGTTAGGCTTTTAGTGATGTTTTAAAAGGGACGCTGCCTCTTACGACACCCACGGCAAAGGAAGGGGTGGCCCGTTCTATGCCGGGACCACACGGCGACTTACAGATTAATCCTGTAGAAATATCAAAATCATTTTAACAGTTTTAGGCGACGGTTACCACTTTCCATCAGGTGGGCCGTTGCATAAAAAAAAAGTTTAGTTCTTTAATTAAAATAAAAAATTACTCACAATTGAAGTAGGTGTTTTTATGTGTCTTTAATTATTTACAAAAAAATTGTATTTCCTCTCAATTTTCTAAAAACCAGTCATAGCTGTGATAAAATATACAAATAACATTTTTATGAAACTTAGATTGACAAACAAGCTGACGGCTCACCTGATAAAAAAAGTGGTAACCGTCGCCTATAGACATGAGCAATACCATGGACACAACAGAGTATACTGTTTCGCCCATGAGACTCCCCATGCGTTGCCATTCCTGAGGACTCAGGTGTTATTCCTCTGTACCCAGTAAATTCACGCCATATCCTACCCTTCAAACCGAAACACAGCTATGCAAACACAACTGCTTCACGGTTGAAACACGAATGGGACAGAGGTACCCAAGCAATCAACTTTTGTACAAACTCTCCCTCTGGTAATCTCTGGTTCTTGCATGTAACAGGCATACAAGCACACTGTCGCTGATGTAATAGTAATATATCGCTGATACTAGTCGAGCTTCTATTTCGTCTCCCTTTGTGTTCAGTTGGGAAAGACGTGACATTTCAAAATGAATAATTTTTGATTTTTTTTTCTTAATTGAGCATATTATAAAAAAATGTCTGGTACAAAAGGCGGACTTAATACTGTATAGCATTTACATAGAGCTATCCATTTTAGCCGATTGTAACTTGCAGCTCCCATTGGGAAGGCTCTATTCTACAGCCTTTCATGCGCTGCTCCAACATATACTTGTACCTGAGTTGTTGAGCCGTTGTCTTAAAGTATTTTTTTTATGGATGATAATGGAATGGTTACCCCGCCTGCACTATCGGTATACACTCGCAGGGCACCAGTAAGGTATGATAGGTGAGAATGACGCAAGTCAGTTTTTTTTTTGATGGGTGAAAATGGTATGGTAACCCCGTCTGCGGTAACAGGATACGCTGGCGGAGCACCAGTAAAGGGTGATAGGTGAGAATGAAAACAGGCCAGTTAGCCCATCATGATGAATTCATCAGGAATTAACCATGATAGTTACCAGGGAGAACCGCGAGGAGGTCGACCTGATTGGGTATATTGTTAGAAACGGGATTCTCAGTCTCCATTACTAACAATCCCTTTCTCCCATCGTTAGCCCACCGTAACGAAATTAACAATAAATCAATCACGATGGTTTCCAGGTGGGACCACGAGGAGGTCGACCTGTTTCTATTTATATACAGGATCTCTAGACAAATAGCAAGCGAATTCGTCGATGGAATCGACATCGCTAGCGAGTCCAAGAGTTAGAAAGAGACATCCGGCGTTGCTATCTCATTCTATCGCACGGACTCGCTAGCTATATCGATTCCGTCGACGCATTCGCTTGCCACTTGTGTAGATGGCCAGAACGTTTGCCTGATCAGCTAGTTCCTTTTCCTTAAATATCTCCTATGTACGGACATTGTCTAGTTGCAATTTTAATATATTTATAAGATTTTAATATTATATTTAATTTTCATGTTATATTAAAGCAATAAGAAAAACAATTTTATCTTCTTAATCCTCTCTATTCTCAGGTTGGCTGAAAGAGATCGCTATTTAGCGACAAGGCCGCCCATTGTTGCCTCTTTACCTTGCTTTTATATAATTATTTTGTTTATGTATATTTTTAATCTTTATAATCTGTATCGTTCTTTGAAGGGAACAATAGTTTTCATTCATTCTTGTCGAATACAAAAGCAAAATAGGTAGGTGAAATACATATGTATTTTATTTAAAAATAAAAAAACAAATAAATAATTAACAACTCTTTATTCTACTCTATTTACATAATAATAACATAGATATGGTAATGACCTTTAATATTATATTACATATTTTAATATATAAAAACATGTCACGGTGCTTCCTCCAGGCTAATCTCCGAAACTGCTCGACTGACTTTAATGAAACTTTCACGAATGTGTATTGTCCAATTTGAGACTTAGCTTAGTTTTTATGCCAATAGGAGAAATGAGCAGAGGGCAAATCTGTTTGTTGGGTCTGGTACTAACCCAGCATACACTAATATGTTAAGATAGTTTTTTTTTTTTTTAATATAAATAGTTATTTATACCTTAATATACCCTTTTTGAAGAATCCTATAATACAAAATAATTTAACATGTTTTGTATTAACTGAAAACGATTAGCGAGCAAACAGCAATAAACGATGGTGCTGCCTCTACAGAGATATTCAGGAACTAAAATTACCATTATAAAATATTTCCACTTATTGCCATATGATCGCTAGTGGCGTTGTTCGTTAAAGAAACGTGGTATAAGCAATCTAGCTAATAACAATTTTGGTGTAATAACACTGTTTTTGTGTATGGCCTATTCTAATCCGTGTAGATCCCGCATAGGCCACCCCTTCCTTTCTCCTGGGAGTCGTAAGAGGTGACTAAGGGAGCTTATGGTGAAGGGATGGGCAGCAACGTTCTTCTTAAAACATCACTAAAAGCCAAATTGTGGTTGCCAACCCGCCTGCAACTGGCAAAACCCTTTATGAGGGAAACTATGTTCAGCAGTGGGCAATTAATGGCTGATACAACAAGACTATTTTTGAGAGACATTGATTGTTATTTATCCAATAAGTTTGCTGACTCTTATGAACATCCATGACCACCGCAACCGAACACTAGAGGCACCACTCATGTATTGCAACCATTCATGTTATGAAGAATTCGAGGTACATTACACAGGAACATCCGTAAAATTGCACATGTGAAAAAATACATTATTCATTCCTCGGTGGTGGTGGCTTCCCGCTGGCGAGGACCTTCTTCATTGTCTTCATCATGGTGGGGATCAGTCCTATATGCTTGTCCACACACTTCACTGCGCATTTCTCGAAGTCTATCGTACATTTATCAATCTGAAATAAACCAAAGGTTTCGTTACTTACAGAATATTATGTCACTATTTTTTTTATACAACTTAGAATGGCAAACAATCTGACGGCCCACCTGATGGAAAGTAGTAACCGTCGCCTATAGACATGAGCAGTACCATGGACATAACAGAGTATACTGTTACGCCCATGATACCCCCCATGCGTTACCATTCCTCTGTAACCTGTAAATTCACACCATATTCCACCCTTCAAACCGAAACACAGCCATGCAAACACAACTGCTTTACGGTTGAAACACAAATGAAACAGAGGTAAGAAAGCAAACGACTTTTGTACAAAGTCTCCCTCTGGTCAACGTCAAAGATTCATGAATAAAAACAACCAGTTAATTTCAAATTTTCACATTGTTTACGAATATTATAGTATTTAAAATACACTATCAATTAAAACCATTTTTTTACTAACAGGATACGCTGGCGGAGCACCAGTGAAGGGTGATAAGTGAGAATGAAAACAGGCCAGTTAGCCCATCATGATGAATTCATCAGGAATTAACCATGATAGTTTCCAGGGAGAACCGCGAGGAGGTCGACCTGGTTAGGTATATTGCTAGCAATGGGATTCTTAGTCTCCATTACTAAAAATCCCTTTCCCCAACCCAAGCCAGCTGTTGCAACGCTTGGCAACTACTGGCAAAACTATCCTTAATGAGGATGGCTTATGTTCAACATTGGAGAGTTAACGCTGATATTAATGTATCTAAATTGATCGGGTGATCCATTTTTACACAGTAAGCCAGTGTATCGGAAAGCTGGTCTGATCCCAAAACGCCTAATATTCCTCCCAAAACTCTATCACCAGAGGGAGACTTTGTACAAAAGTCGATTGCTTGGGACCTCTGTCCCATTCGTGTTTCAACCGTGAAGCAGTTGTGTTTGCATGGCTGTGTTTCGGTTTGAAGGGTGGGATATGACGTGAATTTACTGGGTACAAAGGAGTAACACCTGAGTCCTCAGGAATGGCAATAAATGAAAGGTATCATGGGCGAAACAGTATACTCTGTTATGTGCATGGTACTGCTCATGTCTATAGGCAATGGTTACCACTTTCCATCAGGTGGGCCATCAGCTTGTTTGCCATTCTGAGCTGTATAAAAAAAAATCTAACTCTGTATGTGTTCGTAAATATTTGACGAATTTTTTAAACTTTAAGATATTATTTCCAAAGTTTGTAGATATTTATAATTTTTTATTATTTTATAATAAAAAAAAAACCGTATAAAACCGTATTTGCGATATTTTTATAGCTATAAATACTCACAGTCTCTTGGCTCGGGTCCGGCCCTAGCCTGTCTCTTGCTGCATCATTACAATCCATGACGCACCTTTGCAGTCTGTTTTGAAGATTGTTGATTTCTCCCTGTAAAAAATATAAAGTTATAGTTTTTTTTTTTTTTTTTTACACAATACGGTCGCAAACAAATTGTTTCGCTGTTGGGTAGGGTGCGTGTTAGCTCAAACAGTGCCCTGAAGACAATTGCTGATAAAATGCACTGTCCTATCCTAAAATATTGGGTGGGACAGGTTATCAATGTAAGAGCGTTATGACCGCTCATTTACTAACATAGGTTAATTTATAACTAACAAAATGGGCCTTATGCAGTCTAATTAAATAAATATTATTATTATTATAGAGGGGAAGGGATTATTTATAATGGGAACACTAGTCCCCATTACTAACAATACTGGTGCTCTATTGCTGTATACTATTATAATATATAGCAGATAATAAACATTTTTTTTAGACTTTTAATCCAAAAAAAAATTAAATTGTGTCCAACAAACCATATTTCAATTATGACAAATCCAGTTGTTTCAATTTAAAAATCAAATTACTGAATCAATATTTCTAAATTACATTATAAAACCACACTGTACATGACTATCTAGAGCCTAATGTATGTATATGTACCAGAGGGAGACTTTGTACAAAAGTCGATTGCTTGGGTACCTCTGTCTCATTCGTGTTTTAACCATAAAGCACTTGTGTTTGCACGGCTGTGTTTCAGTTTGAAGGGTGGGATATGGTGTAAATTTACTGGGTACAGAGGAATAACACCTGAGTCCTCAGGAATGGCAACGCATGGGGGGTATCATAGGCAAAACAGTATACTCTGTTATGTCCATAGTACTGCTCATGTCTATAGACGACGGTTACCTCTTTCCATCAGGTGGGCCGTCAGCTTGTTTGCCACTCTAAGTTGTATAAAAAAATATTATTTTAATAAATTACCTGAACATAGTTATTGGCATGGTTCAAAGGTGTAGTGCAATTTTCTATGCAACTATGCACTCTCTCTAGTGAAGACTGCTGGTCATCGCAGCATTTGGCTGCACAGCGATGCATATCACCCTAAAAAATAGAATGAAATTCTTTTTTAATGGGTGAAAATATAAAAAAAGGTAACCCCACCTGCACTAACGGGATACTCTGACGGAGCACCAGTGAAGGGTGATAGATGAGAATGAAAACAGGACAGTTAGCCCATCATGATGAATTCATCAGGAATTAACTATGATAGTTTCCAGGAGAAACCGCAAGGTTAACCTGGTTGGGTATATTGCTAGCAATGAGATTCTCAGTCTCCATTACTAACAATCCCTTTCCACCCAGAATGAAATATTGGTTTCACTTCATTGTCTTTTGGGAAACAGTTTGTTACAGGAACTAGTGGCTCCACTACCAACAACAGGGGGAAGTGAGGGATTGTTAGTAATGTGTACCAGTCCCAACGCTAGCAATATACCCCATCAGATCAACCTCCATGTGGCCCTCTGGAAACCATTATGTTAAATTTCAGGTGTATTCATCACAATTGGCTAACTGTCCTACCTTATCATTCTCACCTATCATCCCTCACTGATGTCCTGCCAGTATATACTGTTAGTGCAGGCAAGGTTATCATTCCATTATTATCCATTAAATACTGCCAAAAACATACAGGTCACAAGTAAATCAGGTCTGAAAACTAATGTGATTAGTATTTTTTTTTTATTGGATGATAATGGAATGGTAACCCCGCCTGCGCTATCGGTATACACAGGTGGGACACCAGTGAAAGATGATAGGTGAGGATGAAGCAGGTCAGTTAGCCCATTGTGACAAATTCATAAATAAATCAATGATAATAGTTTCCAGGGGGAACCACGAGGAGGTTGATTTGATAAGGTTTATTGCTAGCAATGGGGTTGCTAATCCCCATTACTAACAATCCCTTCTCTTCACAATGTGATAAGTTTGTGGTGGTTTATGCCATAACTGAGTTATAGCTTGCCTATCTGTCTCTAGTGCCCCGCCAGGGTATACTGACAGCGCAGGCGAGGTTTCTATACAATTTTTATTTATTAAAAAATAGATTGTTTTAATGTTAAGGGTAATTAGGACAAAATCACCAAGTAATTATTACAACCGCCACTAAGTTAGTCACTGATCAAATAATAATCAAAAAAATATTTATAACAAATACATATAAATATTAAACAAATTGCGCGTACATTACAGAGACAATTTTTTTTTATTATTGTTTTTTTTATTCGTGATATATTTCCAATTATTGCATAACACAATTAAAGTGTGATCAACATAACCTCACTTACTTGCATTTTCCTGAGATAACTTCTGTCTAACTCATTGACCAGATTGGTCATCTCCTGTTCTATCCTATATTTTTGTGCTTCAACCATTTTGGTGGGTGTAATTTAGAATATTAATAAAAACATAAACAAGAATGAGAAAACGATTCACAAAATACCGTGCCACCAGTATTTTAGACAATCGGCAATTTTGACAAAAAAATTTGATTAATGTGACATTGACATTTTTTTTTTTTTTTTTTTTTTTTTTTTGGCGTTCACCCCGATATTAGGGTATTTTGCCAAGAACAAAACGGGGAAACGATAATAGTAATAAAAATACCTAACACAAACGAATTTAGAAAGGATAAGGATTAGGTCTAGGATATTTATAGGATATGAAGGATATACTTGTACATATGAGAATATACTTATAAATATATAGGAAAAGCAATTGATGCAACTATAAATGTATTCATGTAATATAACTAAATCTTAATATTGTTATCATATATATATGAAGATAGTATTTTATAGATAATAGGATCATTGGAAGAAAGTAGAATAAGAATAGAAGTTGGGAATGGAACACGGATGGATCGGAGATGATTAAAAAGGGAGGTGTGGTCAAATTTAGAACATGAGAAGAATATATGATTCAAGTCCGCCACTTCAGCACCGCAATTACACGACGAACTTTGTACAATACCAAGCTTGTATAAATGAGAAGGTGTGCATACATGACCTAGACGCATACGAGTTATAATAGTTGTTGCGGTCTTTCCAAGCTTTAATTTACAAAACCATGGTTTGAAAGGAATATCGGGTTGTATAAGGCGATAAAATCTTCCTTTTATTGTACTTGTTTTTTCCCAATATTCCTTCCAGGCATACCTTAAATATATTTTTGGGAGACAAGCTAGGTCACTACAGTAATTATGATACGGATACATATCACCACAAGTTACAGCCTCTCTTGCAATAAGGTCAGCTTTGTCATTGCCGCTAATACCACTGTGTCCTGGTAACCAGGCAAAAGAAACGGAATACCCTCTCAACATGCAAAGATAAAGACTTTGTCTTATGTCACAAATAATGGGATAAACTGGTTTTGATTTAAACGGATATTTGGCTAGAGCTTGCAAAGAGCTCATAGAGTCAGTGAAAACTATTGCCTTATGTAATTTCATTAAAAGTATATATTCTACAGCTTTTAAAATACCATAGCATTCCCCGGTAAAAACTGAAGATTCCGGTGGAAGTTTAATTTTTTGAACGATATTAAATTGTGAATGAAACACACCCACACCTACACAACCGCTATTGTCTGGTTTTGATGCATCAGTAAAGATGTAGTGCCATTCATTCCATTCAATGTCAGTTATAAACATAAATTTGGCATTCAATTCTGAATCATTTTTTGATAACCCAAAATCATATTTAATATTAGGAGATAAAACTAAAGATTGATATGAGCATTTATAAATGGAAAAACAGGACGATGTAAAAGTGGGAGATTCTATGGATTTATATTTTTCATAACTTTGTATTAAACATGGAGGTTTTTTATGTTTCCAATAAGATGAAGACGAAATAAAGATATGTAGTTGAGATAACTTTTGAATAAGCGGATGATCAGATAATTGTAAACAACGAAAAAAGAAGCGATCAGATAGATATTGCCTTCTTAAAACCAAAGGTGGATCACCGACTTCGAGCTGTAAAGCATTCAAATTCAAATTCAAATTCAAAAATCATTTATTCATGTAGGACATTTTAGCCGCTTATGAACGTCAAATTTTTACATTATAATTTTATTTTTTTCCCTACCGTCCAGTTCGGTATATAGATCCAACTGAGAAGAACTGGCAAGAAACTCAATTGAATTACTTTTTTTTTTAAAAGCCAGTTTATTTACAATGTATATTTATATAGGTGTCTATGTCTAACATTAAATGAAAATTCAGTGCATGAACAACTATTGCCATGCACACACGTCATTCAAGTAATCGTTTAGTGAGTAATAGGCTTTGCTCAGTAAATATGATTTAACAGATGTTTTGAATTTATTTAAGGGTAATTCCAACATATCCTTTGATATCTTATTGTAAATTTTTATACCTATTCCCATAAAAGACCTATTAACTTTTTCTAAACGATACTTGGGGACAGCAAGTTTGTCTTTAAATCTAGTATTAATATTATGAATATTGCTGTTTTTTGGAAATAAGTCAAGATTTTTATGAACATATAGGATATTTGAATATATAAATTGAGAAGCAACGGTGAGAATATTTGCCTCTTTGAATTTCTCTCTTAATGAGTCACGACTCTTCATACAGTAGATCGCTCGAACGGCACGTTTTTGTAATATGAATATATTCTTAATATCTGCCGCTTTTCCCCATAGTAATATTCCATAAGAGAGTAAACTATGAAAATAACTAAAATAGACTAATCTAGCAGTATCAGTATCAGTGTACTGTCTAACTTTACGCACGGCAAAAGCTGCTGAATTTAGTTTCGCTGCAAGGCTTTGAATTTGTGCACCCCATTGTGTTTTATTATCTAGTGTGATTCCTAGAAAGACAGTAGATTCTATAAATTCGAGAGATTCGTCATTTAATTTAATATTGCAATTAGTATTAAAACTTTTAGACAGAGAGAAATTAACACATTTTGTTTTTTTAGCGTTTAACATAAGATTGTTAGTTGTAAACCAGTGCAGGAGACGCCGCAAAGCACTATTTACATCGTCATAATTATTAGTCATTCTATTAACTTTAAAAATCAATGAAGTATCGTCTGCAAATAATACTATGCCGCATCTATCCTGCATGGCATATGGGAGATCATTAATGTAAACTAGAAATAAAAATGGACCGAGAATAGATCCTTGAGGTACACCCATTTGCACAAGTGACCCGTCAGACGTAGCGTTGCTAATCTTCACTTTCTGTATTCTATCAGATAGATAAGATTTTATTAAATTTAAAGCATTGTCTTTGACGCCATAAAAAGCAAGTTTTTTTAGCAATGTATTATGATCAACGCAATCAAAAGCCTTAGAAAGGTCACAAAAAACACCTATCACATCCATTTTAGTTTCCCATGCAGCAAATACGTGTCTAAGCAACTCTGCACCTGCGTCTGTAGTTGAACGACCTTTGGAAAAACCGAATTGACTATAGTGGATTAAATTATTTAAATTGAAATAACTGACAAGTTGCATAAGGATTATTTTTTCAAAAATTTTACTGAGTGCTGGGAGTATGGATATAGGTCTATAATTTATTGGGTCACTCCTATCTCCAGATTTAAAAAGCGGTATGATTTTACTAATTTTCATTATATTAGGAAATTTACCTTCATCTATACATTTATTGAAAATAAAAGCAAGAGAGGGCGCAATAATTTCCATTATACTATCCAGTATTTTAACAGATATACCCCATAGATCCTCTGTTTTTTTATTATTAAGCTGTTTGAATATTTTCATTATTTCTACTGATGATGTATGTCTAAAGTTAAATACAGCTGATGACTTGCTAACATTGTCTGTTAGTAAAGTTTCAGCAGCAGACGGGGAAGATTTTAGAGCCTGTGTCGTAATTAATGGAATATTAGTAAAATAAGATTCGAATGTATGCGCGACCTCTGTGTCGGAATTTACCAATTTGTTATTAATATTTAAAGCTATTTTGCTATTTTGAAAATTAACTTTTCCAGTTTCGCTATTTATTACTTTCCAAGTGGCTTTTATTTTATCTTTAGATTTAGTTATTATTTTACCTAAATAGAGAGACTTAGCTGTATGACAAACCTTTTTAAATATTTTCGAATAAGATTTTACATGTTCATGAAATAAGGGATCGGATATATAGCTTCGTTTTTCGTAAAGTTCGTAAAGATTAGCCCTAGACTTATAAATACCAAACGTGGCCCAGTCACAAAACTTTGATTTTACACTAGTTGAAAATGTTTTTGTTTTAAATTCACTGCTAGCTTCATGTTCAATTAAATTAAAAATATGTTCACATACAATGTCCGGGTTATATTGAGGTACTATGACACTAGATATTTTATGTTCAATTTTATTTTTAAAACGTGCCAAATTCTTTTGTGTTATTTGTCTGCATGTAATTGTTTGAGTCCCTTTGGATCCCTTAGTTTCAATTATAGCTTTTTGTCCGTAATGATCAGATCCAATACAGTCGAAATTCATTTTCACCTTTACTTCACAATTACAAAAAACATTATCTATACAAGTGGCAGAATTTCCTGCGACCCTAGTGGGTTCTAAAAAAAGATTGTGCAAATTAAATGATTTAAATAAGTTAATCAATCTTAAGCTTATTGAGCATTCCGATAATAAATCAACATTAAAATCGCCACATACAAATAATGTTTTATTCCTCCGTGCGACTCGTCTCAATGCTTCCTCCATAGCCAGTTCAAAAGAATCAAAACAAGCCGATGGCGGACGATAAACGCAAATTATTATACAAGTAACTAATTCTACGCAAGACAGTTCAATTGTTTGCTCAATAGAAATATTTACAATGTCTTGACGGTTTTTATATTCTACATCATTTTTTAAAATAATAATTGACCCGCCATGAATGGCATTGTTCCTAGCAAAAAAACTAGCTATATTATAATGTTCAAAAGGACAAATTATTTCATATTGTTTAAGCCAATGTTCTGTCAGACATAACACCCGTACATTGTTAGATTCTAAGAAAAGACTTAATTCTAATTCTTTGCTGGAGAAGCCACGAATATTTTGATGAATAATGACCATATCCTGTGGCTTAACCAATGTCGTAGATGTTAGTTTAAATTAACACATGTCACATTATTAGTATAATTACTAATATTACTAATTAAACCCGTTATACTACTTATAATGGGATCATAAATGTTATACGCTAGTAAACTAGCAATAGTCTTTTTTTGTTTTTTAGGAAGATAAAAATTACCTCCCGTCATATAATAATTTGTAACAAATTTGTTACTTTCAAAATAAAATATATCATTACAATGATATGTCATCGAATAAATTAAATTATTTATACTATAAATGAACTTATTCTGTTCATTAGTCAGGGATTGAGAGTAGGGAAATGCGCATAATAATATTTTACCTATACCAAGCTCCACTATATTATATAATGATTTTATTAAATTAACTATATCAGATTTACGCATATGCAAACAATTCCCTA